ATGGGGCGCATCGCGCGCCCCCCGTCGTCTGTCTGCATCCTGGGGGGAGGATGGGCAGGGCTGTCAGTGGCCTTCCACCTTCAGGAGCTTGCCAGCCGCATGCAGCACGCCATGCGCATGCACGTGGTGGACAAGGAGGCGGTGGGAGAGGGAGGAGCGTCTGCGGTGGCGGGGGGGCTGGTCCATCCCTTCACGCCGAGGGCGAAGAAGATCTGGATGGTGACTTGGGAGCTCCAATGCTCAGCGCTGAGCATGCTGGCAGGGAGATGCGGGAATGGAGGCTACCAGGAGGCTGATCCGGGTTGCGAGCGAGGGCAGGTGCCAGTTTGAGCTTGCGAGATGCGAGTGGTTGAGGATGATGATGTTGCATGCTCGGTAGCTCTGCCAAGATTGTCACAGGAGAGGGCATCGTTATGCTGGCGAAGTCAACGAGGCATGTCTCTTCCTGCTCCTGCTCCTGCTCCTGCTCCTGCTCCTGCTCCTCCTTTGCCTGATCCTCCTCCTCCTCCTCCTCCTCTTCCTCCTCCTCCTCCTCCTCAGATGATTCACGATGCAGGCGCGAGGAGGACTTTCGAGCTGCTGCGCAGAACTTCCCGTCGGAGGTGACAAGTGTCATTCCTTGTCAGCCATCCAAGTGCTGCTCTGCAGATCGAGCTGCTGAGGTTGGAGGACGACCCGAGCCTGGCAGGCAGGACCTCTCTTGAAGCATTCTCCCCCGCTGCTCTTGCTCAAGGCTCTGTCTCCCAGCAGGAGTTTCGCCGAGCATACAGTTCGGCATCCGGATCAAGTGGGTGGTTAGGAGGAAGCTTCTGCCGTCTCGGGTGACGACTCCCCAGGTCAGGGCTGTCGGTCAACGGACGAAACTACTCGAGGGCGCTGTGGGAACATTGCAAGCGGGCCTCGGGCGGCGGCTCCATAGAGTGGGTTCGGAGGGACGTGGTCAGACTCGTCGCTCCTGCGTGCTAGAGTGACATGAAGTGATCAGGGGGGGCTAGCAGACGTCGGCGACTTGCAGGCTGAGTCCGTCGTGGTGTGTCTGGGGTACGGGAGTGTGATGTTGAGGGAGCTGCAAGGGCTCCCGATCAAGTGTGTTGCCGGGCAGGTGCTCCTTCCCTCCCCCCTCCTGCGGATTGATCCTTGTTGCTTCCTCCGGCAGAGCCTTGAGTTCGTGCGGAGAGGCGACGAGCCCAGCGACCTGAAAGTTTCGCTGCTTGCGGGAAAGTGAGAAGGAGGAGGATTCAATGATAGTAGGGCTGATCTCTGGCAGGTACATCTCGCCTCTCCGTGATGGAGACAGGCTTCGCTTGTACTGTGGCGCGACGCAGGAGCACGGGACCGTCCAAGAGCTTGTGCGGCGAGGTGCAGACGTGGAGTAAGCAGCGTCTGCGATTTGACCCGGCGTCCTGAAGGCAACTTTCAGGAAAGCGAAACAAGAACTGATTCCGGAGCTGACGGCCCTCTATCCCGAGCTGGGCACGGACTGCTGGGCTCCTACAAAAGTCTCCCTTTCTCTCTTGCCATGCAGGACCGCGGCTACTGACTCGCCATGGCAGTCGAGGTATGGGATCCGAGCCTTGACCAGCCGAGAAAACGAAGGTCGCCTTCCCCTCTGCGGGCTGCTCCGAAGCGGACCGGGGGGCTCCATGCTCAGCAACAGCGATGTCTGGGTGCTAACGGGCTTTGGATCGAGGTACCTCTGCTACTGGCCGTGTTGAGATTTCAGTCCGTGGACTCACTCTCCGTGGTCAGGGGGCTGATCCACCATGCGCTGCTCGGGGAGATGATGGCCAAGGCTGTGATGCATCGCGACCCGAGTCACTTGCCCCCCGAGCTACAGAAGTCCTCGCTCTTCACCTAGCCGAGTCTGCTCAAGTCTTTGTACATAAAGCTTGAGTCACTAGTCCGAGAGTCACCGTGGCCCGGCCCTCACTTCAAATATTCACTATAGCATCACTTCAAATATTCACTATAGAACCAAAACCTTGACTACAGAACCCCCGTGGTCCGTTGGAAGCTTTCCATGGCTGAGGAGGGTCAGGAGATGCCGGAGGAGGGGGAGAGGGAGGAGGGGGAGAGGAGAGGAGAGGAGAACGTGGAGGGGGAAGTGAGCCAGGTCCAAGCGCCCGAGGAAGAAACGATGAACTCGACCATGGAGTTGTCCCAAGTTGTCGAGGAGACAGACAAGGAGGAGATGGATGGGGGCGGGCAGGACCGTTCGAACTCCTTGGGGCAGGAAGAAGCACAGAACGAAGAGGCTGACGAGGGCGGGGGAGATCGAGATGAAGAAGAATTCGACGTGGAAGCCGAGGAGAAAGCTGAAGAGGAAGCTGAGAGGTTTGGCCGGGATCAACGCCAGTGATCCTACCAGTCACGTTCCTTCACGCAGACCCTCGGAGCCTCCCAAGATTCTGAGGATGCAGACTATCCAACCAGAGGATCTCTCTGTAGTTAGATTCCGTGTTGTGTTAACCTCTGAACGTCTGTGATGCAACAGGCAAGCTACAGTGCAAACAGCAACGAAGAGTTGCTGGTATCGCCTGGTGCGGTGAAGCTTGTCGGAGACCTGACCGCAGTTGAAAGGTGTTGGAGTATGTCGAGAACTTTCGTCGGCAGTTCGTCCAGCTGTATCCGGTGAGATGATCGTCGAGTCTCTGAACTTGTACAAGACCTCTGAACTCGTCGGCGTTGCTGTGATCAGCATAGGAAAGAGCTGCTCCTTTCGCCAAGGAACGAGTGTGGTGTAGAGAAATTCATCTGTACAACGGTGAGGCCCACCAAGATGGAGTACAACGAGATCTACGACTTGGAGGTGAGACGGCAGGAGGAGATAAGAGGGAAAAGAAGCGCTTGACTCTGATCCCTCCCCCCGCAGTCCTGTGCCCTCTTCGTTTCCGAGCACATTAAGTACGAGGTCCGCTCGTTCATGGCTCGTAGTTGAGACTTAGTCGACCTGACATGTTTCCATTTCTGTCTTCTGTTGATTCTCCTCTCCTCTCCTCTCCTCTCCTCTCCTCTCCTCTCCTCTCCTGTCCTGCACGTCTCCAACAAGCAGCATCTCTGGGACCCCCTGACCCTCCCCAAGTACATCCCGTCCCCCACCAGCGTGCTGAGGTGGCAGGTACCCCCCCCACACCCCCTGAGGTTCCCATGCTCATCCTGCCACCCCCCGCAGGCCGGGGACTGCTTCGATATGAGCATCGTGTTGGCCAGCCTGCTGATCGGGGTGGGGTACGACGCCTACGTCGTGATCGGGTTCGCAGAGAAGAGAATCTGCCTGGCGGACGAGGCGCACGAGCCGCTCGTCGGGCACTCGAGGAGCAGGACGTCGCAGGGGAGCTCGCGGAGCAAGAAGGCGCAGATCAAGGTCTTCAGTGACGACGCCAAGGAGGAATCGGTGTACTCGGTGAAGCAGCGGCCAGTGCTGGACAGCACGTTCGTGATGACGAGGGACAAGTTCGATCGCCTCGATCAGGAGCTGACCAAGAAGGAGCAAGAGGCTCCTGCCATGCTCATCGAGGAGGAGGAGCAGTCGGTGCAGGAGGAGGACGAGTACGAGGGGCAGCGGGTGCATGCGTGGGTGTTGGTTCGAGCAGGCAAGAGAGAGATGGTTGACAACGTCTTTGTGGAGGCGAGTACGGGGAAGGTGAAACCTGCTTCTCCGTCTGGATTTTCGTTCTAATCATTCTCCTGTCCTGTCCTGCCCTGTTTGTTGTCCTGCCCTGTCCCCTCCTCTCTCACGCTCCGTCTCGCTCTCTTCCTGTCTTGTCTCTCAGGTTGTCCCCACAAATCACCCTGGCTACAAGGGGATCGAGGCTGTCTTCAACCACCAGAACTACTGGGTCGACATGCAGGTGAAGAGGCTGGGTAGAGGAGGAGGAGGAGGAGGTTGAAGAGGATTCCCCAGCGGGTCGATGAGCCCAAGGACATCTCCTTTGCTCTTGAGGACTTCAACAAGTGGGAGTTTCTCTTCATCAGCAGCATGTCAAAGGATCAAAGGAGGAACTCTATCGAGGATGCCAGGTCCTGCCCCTCCTCCGTTGAGACCCCTCCCTCCCATACGCCTCCTCCTCTACCTCCTCTCCTGTTCCTTGCACCTCGCCTCCCCCTTCCTGTCCTGTCCTCTACCTCTTATCTCCTCTACCTCGCTTCTTTTCCCCTCTCCTCTTCTGCTCCTCCCCCCCTTCCTCCTCTTCCCTCCCCTTCATCTCCCATCCTGACTTACTTGAACAGGCCGAACCGATCGCCTCCTTCATCTCCTTTGGAGGGGAAGAGAGTCGGAACGGGGAACAGGAGGCCTGCGGGGCAGGAGGGCGGGGCTGGCCAGGACGATCAGCGAGTGGAGGTGGAACTCGAGGCGATGGAGGAGGAGAGGACTGACGGGACTTCAGGGACCGGAGGAGGTAGCTGAAGGGGAGCACATCCTAGACCTCCCTCCCAGCTGGTCTCCAGCTGAAGCCTCCCCGCTCGGGGGGCAGCAGGAAGATTTTCTTACGGTCCTGGCAGGGTGGACAAGCTCTTCATCGACCGCGAGATCTTCCTTCGACGCTATGCCGAGGAGGTTGCCTTCTCCTACTGCTGCTCCTGCTGCTCCAACTCCTCCCCCACCCAATCCTCTTCCTCCTCATCTTGATCCCTTCCCTTCGGATGGACGTGTTGAACCTGTGCTGGTCAGTCCGGCGAGCCGAAAAGAACCAAGGATTACAAGAAGAGCAGGGTGGAACACTTTGCTGAGGTAAGACTCTCCTGATCCTGCTCCTGCTCCTGCTCCTGCTCCTGCTCAACTGCTCCTGCTCAACTGCTCCTGCTCCTGCTCCTGCTCCTGCTCCCGCTCAACTGCTCCTGCTCATTTGCTCTTGCTCCTGCTCTCCTGCTCCTGCTCAACTGCTCTCCTGCTGCTCTTCCTCCTGGCCCTGACTTGCCTGCTAGAACTCGAGGAGGGATGGCATGACCGAGATGATCACGCTTTACAGCGACCTGGCGCGGACCAACATGACGGAGGTCACTTGCTTGCTCCTGCTGCTTCAAACCATCAGCTCACGCGTCCGGCAGATACAAGAGTACTTTGCGAATCGCAAAGACAAGCTGGTCAGCAGATTCCGATACTTTCGGTGAAGCAGCTCGTCCTCCTCCTCCCGCCGTTCCTGCTCTCGATCCCTCTCCTACGGATCCTTACCCTACTCCCGATCCCTCTACTCCTCTCAGGGACGGCCGATCGCTCATTCTTGTGTGCTCAGCACCGGCAAGAGGATCGACTCCAACAGGAAGGAGCACATGATCTTCGAGAACTTCGACCCGGGTCGTCCAGATGCCTTGATGAAGGTGAGCAAATTTAAGATTTTCTCCTCCTTCTCCTTGTTTTGCTCCTCCTCGATCTGCTCCTCCTCCCCTCTCCCTTCTCCTCTCTCTTCTCCCTCTCCCACTCCTTCTCCTTCCTCCTTCCTCCTTCCTCACTTTCTCCCAGCTCGTCGAGAAGCCCGAAGGCCGAGAGTTCACCTTCTACCACAAGGTCTACTCCTCCCCCAGCCCTCCCTCCAGCTCTCTCTCCAGCTTCCCCCCTAGCTCTCCCCAAGCATGCTTCTTCCTCACTTCCTCTCAGGCCACACTGGACGGGATGGTCAACAGGACGGAGTCCTTCACTAGGAATCGCGACCCCGCCAAACCCGTGGCCCTGCACAAGGTCTACCACACTTCGTCTTGCCATGCTGCTCCTGCTCCTGCTCCTGCTCCTGCTCCTGCTCCTGCTCCTGCTCCTGCTCCTGCTCCTGCTCCTGCCGCTCAACTGCTCAACTGCTCAACGGCTCCTGCTCCTCGTCATATCCACTCCCCTCTCCTCTATCCATCTTTCATCCTTCTCTTCTTTCCCTTCTCTCTCCACCTCCTGTCTCCCCATGTCTTCCTTCGTCATCCTCCTCCTACCGTGCTTACGGACCCAACGTAGGTCATCGAAACCTTCGAAGGACATCAGAACCGCCTCACCTACCGCAGGCACAGGAGGAGGAGGGGGATGGGGGGGGTGGGGGGAGGGGGAGGGGGAGGGGGAGGAGGGGGAGGAGGAGGGGAAGGAGGAAGTTTCAGGCCTGATGCTGCTGCTGCAGCATCACCTTCGAGCCCATCGAGCCCAACACGGACGCTCCCCCGATGAAGCAGCAGATTGACCATCCAAGGAAGATGACAGAGAAGGTGAGAGGAGGAGCGGAAGTCGTGCAGGGTTAAGGAGGAAGGAGAGGAGAGAAGTTTACACAGGGAGGACGATGGAAGTTCAAACGAAGGAGGAAAAGATGAGCAGGAGCAGGAGGGTTGGTCAGATAGGAGGAGGATGAAGAAGACAAGGGGAATTGGGAGGAGCATGATGGAGCAAGGGAGGAGAGGCAGAAGATGGGCAGGAGCAGGAGCAGGAGCAGGAGCAGGAAGATGGGGAGGAGCAGGAGGAGCAGGAGGAGCAGGAGGAGCAGGAGGAGGGAGACCAGAGGGAAGAACGGCTGAGCCCTGCGCATGCAGTTTGAGCGGAACCCAGAGGTGCCAGCAGACAAGGACATCGCCAAGAGGACTTTCTTCACAGGCTCCCGTCCGGTGGGCACACGGCCCGTCCCTTGTCAAGCTGACCCTGCTGGCAGCCGAGAATCCATCTGATTTTCCACTACGGGCCGGGGAGGATCACTTCGGTGAGTTGGGCCGGACCGGGACGGGGAGGGGGAGGACGTGGAGCGTGTGAGACCGGATGCAGTCGACGCGGACGTACATCACCGAGAAGAACCTTAGCGGCGACGAGTTCTCGGTGCAGGTGAGGACGGAGCAGCTCGCGCCCGGTCGGGGGTGAAGCTGACGGTGTGGGGGGAAGGAGTACGTGGTGGACCCGTTTGCGAAGCCGATGAGGTACACGGAGCAGCGGGATGAGTACCAGCTGGTACGAGGAGAGAAGAGAAAGGCTCGCTGTGGGCTGACCTCTGCCCTCCTCCTCCTCCTCCTCCTCCTCCTCCTCCTCCTCCTCCTCCTCCTCCTCGCCTGTTGCAGCTCACAGCAGCGGAGAAGTCGCTCATCTCTGAGTTCCGCGAGGCCGAGCGAGAGGTCCAGGCACCTCAAACTTGCTCGCAAGCTAATAGGCTGTGCAGGCGACCAAGATCCTGGAGTCGAGGGAGAAGGAGGAAAAGGAGCCGGGACTGCTCAAGAGTCTGCATGTACAGCTACAGGTCGAACACCTCCCCCGATCCCCTCTCCTCGCGGCTGTTGCTCTGTTCGTCCTTGCACATACTCGGATCTCATCCGCTCTGCAGGAGAAGAAGGTGGCGGAAGCGATGAAACCCAAGGAGGAGGAGTCGGAAGCTGCTCTCAAGTGAGCCATTGCGTCCTCCTCCTCCTCCCCTTCCCTTGACCGTCCTGTAGGTACGACTACCTCGCGCCGTACCTGCCGAAGCACGCGAAGCAGAAGGCTCTCACGAAGCAGGACGCGCAGGTTCGTCCCTGCCCACCGCGGGGGCCTGCGTGTGACGTGGTGAGCGCAGAAAGTCAAGGATAGCTGCCTGAAGGCGCTCAAGGAGAGGTAGAAGAGCTGAAACTCTGCTCGGCTGCTGCTGAGCTGAATTCTCGCTCACACCCTTGCAGGCTCATCGATCGCGCCCACATCATCGAAACCAGGTTGGAAGAGGAGCAGGCAGCTCTCACCAAGAAGCAGGTGCCTGTCCCCCTCCCGTTCCTCCTCCCTCCTCCCTTTCTCCTCCTGCGCCTTGAACGTTGTTGCCCAGGTCGGATACCAGAGGCAGGACAAGGACAAGACGTCAGACGACGAGGAGTACGAGAAGTACGTGAACGAGGCTCAGTTCCGCATCCAGATTCTCAAGCAGAGGAGAGACCGGCACGAGGAGATTGCCAAGGCCAAGTTCAAGGAGATGATCGAGAGGCTGCAGAACGATCCTCGTCTCGCCATTCTCAACCAATAAACCTATCACAGGCGATGACCTTCTCCTTGAGATCACACAGTGTCAGGCTAGCTGGCAGCCAGAACCCCTGCCGCGTGCTCCGTGCGAGTGCCGCCATGATGTCGCTCAGTCCGACTCGATGATGATCAGTGTTGACCGTACGCCGGGTTACTTAGTCACGCGGCATTGTCACTACCGAGGGCTCCCGGCCCCCCGGCCGCGGCCGGCGGCCGGGCCCGCCAAGTGGGGGTTATAAAGGAGTAGGATAGCAGTTACTCTGTAACCGTCACTTCACGCAATGCTGGCCAGACTGCCTGCAAGGATGCTGCGATGCGCTGTGGCCATGCCAGCAGTCGCCTCCTGCTTCATCATGCCGGGGAACACGATGCTTTCATCTGCAGGCCTCAGCTTGAGGCGGGGAGTGAGCAGTTTCGCTTGGCCATCGCAGAGATCTGTTGTTTGCGCAAAGGTACGTGCAAGCTACGTTACACCCGTTCACGCTTGTGTCTGATCAATTTTGATTTGTGCCAATCACCGATCCTCTAGACAAGACAAGGTAGCTAAGTCTCATCCTTCAAACAGCAGTATCTTACTTGGTTGATCAGTGCTGAAATTCCAACCATGCTACATGAGCACAGACGCGTCTGCCCCGGAGGAGGACACAGTTATGTCCACCATTGAAAAGAAGATAACTTCTGGTTTGCTATGACACCAAGTTCACAACAGGTCTTGATCTTTTTCGCAGAGTTGAAGCCCGTGAAGCTTGAGGTCATTCCAGCTTACGGCGATCCCAACGGCAGCCACGTGACCATTAACGTGGTTTCACAAGCCTTCGAGGGCAAGCGAGCGGTCCAGCGACAGCAGATGGTGTACAAGGTACATGACAGAGAGCGTTGCACAAGGCTGCTGTGACACCGTTCACTTCAGGTCATCTGGGAGGAGATGCAGGGAGCCATTCACGCTGTTGATCAGATGAAATGCCAAACCCCGGCTGAGGCTGGGATGTAAATCTTCAATGAAAGAGTTGTCAGTGTTGCATGTCCTTGCAATTTACATTTGAATTGTGTGTCAATGTTTCGGTTTGGAGGGCACAAGGGAAAATTCTAATCAAGGTCAGATCGCTGAGAGCGGATCGAAGGTTTTTTTCACAGAGAGACATCGTTACATTAGAACGAGAAGGTCAAGATTCGATGAAGGGGAGAAATTACAAATGTAGGTCACACAGCTTGCCATCTTCATCTCTTTGTTGCCTTGAAGAAAGGACTCGGGCTGCAAATCCACACAATCATGCTCGCTCAGTACATCACAGATGGCACTTACCCGAACTTGTCGTCAAGATCCTCGTTACAAACCCCTTCCTCCTCGTCTGATGCTGTCTCGACCCTGCAAGAAACTTCCTTCAGATCCTGTCCGTGAGTCCCGTCCCAGAAAGAGCAGCGTTACAACCCACAAGCGCAATATGGGCGAAATTCACGGCAGGCCCATGACAGATAACCTAACAGAACACTTGCTGCATACAGCATCAACCTACCTGCAGATCACCCTGGAAGTTTGCTTGCTCGGAAAGTCTTGAACGACCTGCTCAGTCGTCACTCAATCGAGCGCTCGGCGTTGGTTCCCTTCACCTTGGTTGAGTGGTCGCCCGTGATTCCAAAACCTCCACAATGACTGCAACTGCGCTCGAGGACTCGATCGGCTCCTGGAATGCCTTTGAGATCTCCGATGGTGTGCGTTTCATGGATCTTTTGCGTTCAAACACGGTGAGCATCCTGCTCGTAACCATCAAGCACGATTCACCTTGCCCGTGCCCTGACACTCTCCACAAGGTTTGACATCAACAGGAGCGTGCTTCTCATAACTGAGCAACGTACAATCAGAAGATGTTCGAGCAGCAAAACACGCGCAATACCATCTCGGATCCAAGGGGAAGTTCCTCTGCAACTCCCCGGCAGCATGCTTTGACCTGATGGTTGTGGCGATTTGGTCCAGATCTGCCATCGCTGCCGGATGACAGGTGCCTCGAGGTTTGTATATGTCTACACGGATGTTTCTTTCCTTCAGGCCCTCTTTGTTGCCTCTGTCTGTCTGTCTGTCTGTCTGTCTGTCTGTCTGTCTGTCTGTCTGTCTGTCTGTCTGTCTGCTGCCTTCAGATCTTCTTTCCTCCTTCTCCCTTGCCCTTCTCGTTATGCTCAGGGCTCAACCGACATAGGAGGAAATTCACCGTTACTGCCAGCAACTTGCAAGTGTAACGTGCGCAACTGATCTATGGGCGGAGCCTTGACAACCAGATAGTTATTTTCTACCCCGTCATAGGACAGTCGAAATGATGAAAAGGTGGGGTAGGGGTGGTGTGTCCATGGGAGGAAGCCCAGACCGGGGGCCGATCAAGGATGGTGGGGGAAGGTCGAGAGGAGGAAGGAGGAGAGATGCCATGACACGTAGGACATGAGGCAGCAGGAAGTTCTCCACGTCTTCGTGCTCCTCGCCTTCTGCATAAGGTCCTCCGACTTGGCTGGAGCTGGTGTGAAGCGATGCTGCGGTTCACATAGATTCTTCCCCGCGCTCGTCAGGAGGCTTCGTGGTGGCTCGGTGGGGGAGAAGGGGACGTCAGCCCCTGAGAATGACGACAAAGACGATGGCACATGCATGTGTTGCTGTGAACCCATGGAGACTGTTGCTCTTTCCCTGTGTGGGCATCACAGCGTTTGCGGGCTGTGCAGTTATCGACTTCGGGTACTCCTGAACCAAACTCAGTGCATCTTCTGCCAGCAGATATCAGAGAGCGTCTTCATAGCAGACTCTCGCGACTTCCCCCCGCAAGGCCCCATGGACCACGTTGTCTGGGACAATCAGACCAAAGTGTGCTTCGAGACCGAAGAGCTCGCTTCTCGCTTCCGCGCCCTCACGGTGGCCAAGTGTACAACATGCGAAGAGACTTTCAACACGGTGAAACAGCTACAGAGTCATACGAGAACTTGTCACAGGCTGAGGTACTGCTGGCTCTGTCTAGAGAACAGGAAGATCTTCATCTCGGAGCAGGCGACCTACGACCAACAGCAGTTCCGTGTGCATCTGACAGGCAGAGATGGCAGCGGCCTCAAGTCAGGGCATCCGCTGTGTAAGATGTGCTGGAGGCGCTTCTACGATGACACGCAGCTGATCTACCACATGTCGCAAGATCACTTCGCCTGCCACGTCTGTCAGAGGCGGAGGGAGGACGACGATCGCCAGCAGGTGGAGTTCTTCCAGAACTATGAGCAGCTCTTTGCGCACTTTCGCTCGGAGCACTACGTATGCGAGGAAAGGAGCTGCATGGATCTGAGGTTCATCGCGTTCGGGACCGAGTTGGAGCTGTTCTCGCACATGTCAAGCGAGCATGGAGGGTCAACGAGGCGAAGCGTGCGAGACGCGATCTTGAGCCAGACGATCCTGCAGGAATACCGACGGAGTGACGGTGGGAGAGGGCGAGGAAGGAGCAGCCGTCCGGGGAGAGGAGCGCAGGCACACAGGGGACAGGTGGCAGAGCGGATGGGGGATACAGGCTTCGCCGCTGGCTCCACGAGAGGAATCGGGGGGAGGGGTAGACGTTATCAACGCGGAACTCCGAGAGCGGGGTTGAGGAACGAAGATCCCGACAGAGCAAGCTTGCAAGCCAGCCAGGCAGATGGATCAGAGCACTTGATAGTGTCGGGGATCAACATAACCCAGCTGAGAGAGAGATATGAGAGGGAGCTCAGCTCGTCGAGAAGGCCGGAGGAAGGGAGCCCGACTAGGAACGAGAGGTTGAGCAGAGGTGAAGGAGGAATGACGGATGTTCCTGACGTGTTCTGACTTGATCTTATCTCAGAGGAGTTTCCTTCCCTCCCAAACGCGCAGGAGCAGCCGCAGCCGGTGGCGAGCGCCATGTCGGATCAAGCCGCTGCCACAGCACAGACCATGTCCAAGAAGTTCTTTTGCGACGAGCTCACCAGCCAACGACGAAATCTCTCCGCGGAAGATTTCCCGTGAGTTCCCCTCTCGGTAGAACTCAGCCAAATCACACGCTTCCGCAGATCGTTGCCCTCTCTCGTCACTCGGGACCCTAGTCGAGTGGGTGCGAGCAGCGAGGCTGACAAGGATCTTGCCGCCCTCATCGCCAAGAATGCATCGACGACTTCGTCAAGAGCCAGCAAGCATGTCGTCACCAATCTCTTCATGAGCGGGAGGTTGCTGTCTCTGAGAACGTCCGAGTCAAGTCGCTCTTGGCGAACTGTTGTGAGTGACAGGGGAGGGAACAACTCCCTTGCCTCCAGCAAGACCGTCGAGGTTCCCAATGACGCTGAGTGAGACTTTTGCCTGCCCCCCTCCTTCCCATGACTGCAACTCGCTGACCCAGAGCTTGTAGGTACCCTCCTCTTCCGAGCTTGCATGCTCAAGAGAGTGGCCGTTCTTCTGATCGAGTGCAGACAGCGGCTACCCCAAGAGGCAGGTTGGAGGAGGAGAACCAAGAGGATCTACAGCAGAAGGAAGCAGACCTCAAGATCGCGCGTGAAACGGCTGTTCGGCTCCTCGGCAGAGACACTTACAGTGTTCTTGAGGTGTTCGCTGTCTTCATATCCCCTCCTCAACCCTATCCTCCATGTCTGATTGCCTGTTCACCTCTTCCTGCCTTGAGTTGCGCGCATACACCTTCCCCCTTCCGTCCTACCCTACCTTGCCTTGCTGTTGTCATACTCTATCCTTTTCTTTCCCCCATACACTCTCCTCCCCCCTATCTCCTCTTATGCGAGTCCATGCATGCAGAAAGCTTTCGAGGACGCCTGCCGACTTGCTCGTACGAGAGATTCAACGAGGCTGTTGCTGTCCGAGCACCTTCAGTCTCTCCGACTTCTCTCCGAGCATGGTGCTCTCCTTTCGACCATGGACTCCTTGTGCAAGGGCACCAGACCCTCTTTCGCAGACGAGCTGCTCGAGCTCGTGTCGGTGAGCTGCGGGGGTTCCGCCATGTTGCCCATCCTCCTCACCGTATCTTGCAGGCGTCTCAGCGCAACCTTGCGGCTCTCACCAGAGACAATCTGAAGCCTTACAAGAAGAAAGAGCTAGAGACAGACATACTCTTGTAGAGTTCAAAAGAGCAGCAGAACACTCGGCACGTTGTGTGAGGAGGTCACAATTTACTGTGTAGCAACACGTGCATCGATGAACCTAAATGGAGTCAGAGTCACTTTCACAGCGGACGCTTGCGAGACAGACCTGGGTACGTTGGCAACTTCAGGCCAAACTCGTCACGGATAGCAGGAGGCACAAACCGCCCCCCTAGAAAATGGTGCCCTGAACACGCTTCAGCTCCCCGAAAGACGTTGGGGCAGCGGACCTTTGAAGTGCTTCGCACACAACTTAGGTGCAGTCAGAGAGATCAGAACTGCAGGCTCCAAGCCGACTCCCCCCTTGTTGCCCTCGTTGACGTCCCAGCCCTGGCAGTTGAATGAGAGAGGTCGAGAGGACAGGCCTCGATATGCATCACAGATGGAACATCGACAGAGACTATTGGCTTCGAGATCTGAAAGCATCAAGCTGGTCAGGGACCTATTCGATCTTTCCCTCATCCTTTCACCTTCTTCAGCGTACTGATAATGTCTGCGAAAGGAGCTCGGATCTCTCCCTTGAAGGAGAACCCAAAGATCGCATCCACCACCACGTCAAAATCGCGTTCGATCGCCTCCGCCGAGGGCAGCTCTTGCAGCACGGGGACGTCAAGGCTAGCCAGCTGAGTCACCAGACCCTGATACAAAGGTTTCGCTGTTTGCTTCGGATAGCACACAACAGGCTTGTAGCCAAAGTGATACAAGTGTCGAGCTGCAACCAACCCGTCCCCTCCGTTGTTCCCTGGCCCACAAACAACAAGGATCCTCTGCAGATTTTGCGCGCAATACTCGGACGTTGCAGTAGCTACGCTCAACCCAGCAAGCTCCATGAGCTGGTCGATAGAGAAACCCAGTGGCCCTGGGCAATGGCGTCAGCAGCTCTTCCCATCCCTATGGCAGCCAACCCATCAACTTCTCGTCGATCTCCGCTGCCTTGGATGCTTCAAGGAAAGCCAAGTCCTGCAGCGAGCACGCCATGGTGCCCTGCAGCCGGTCAGCACAGGACGAGGAGAACAAAAACGAGTCCCCCCGTATCGGAACGATCGCGAGTGGGAGGAGCGTTGTGAGATAGACATTCATCCTCGGGCCCTTGGAACGAGTGACTGCGTGCTGGGAGCGTTGGCGTGCACATCTCAGCCCGGCAAATCTCAATCCGGGGATGTCTTTAAAGCGCAACATCATCTGAGGAAAACTATGACTAGGAGGAGGACGGGAATGAGATACCCCCAACACCATACATCGGCTTCCCTTCACACTAACCTGCTCCGAACCACAACACTTCTCGATCACATCTTTCAAACTTACTCTCCTCCAACTCTTGAGCCTAATGTTTTGTTTCATGTCATGATAGCCATACTCTCATTTAGTTCTTCTCATCTACTTCCTATCGTGTACAGGCTCTCCTACCGACATGCTCGCATCTGCTCTTTGAAGCTTTGCGGTCCAGAGTTTCCTGCCTTCCTCATTCAGAAACACGAATACTAATCATTCCCCTAATCTCTGTCCGCTGCCCTCCATATATTTAAAACAGCTTCTCATGGGGGTGGGGTAGTTAAAACACCGGTCCAAATACACTCTTCTGGTACGTTCAGAACCCATGGGGTAGTGTCAAAGGGGGGGGTGCAATCAAACGGTCATTAGCATGTCCTCAACGCATCCGTTGTTTTCCGTTACTCACGGATTTCGTTGCCCTGCTATTACGCCCCTCTATTCCCCAAAACGCACTGATCCATAAAAATTTGTATATATAAAAAACAATATAAAAAAGTACGGAAATGTAGAGCGACACTGGGGTAAGCAGTACTGGGAATCGAGGACGTTGTAATGCACATTATTAAAAAGGGTCATAACAGTACTGCAATTTTCGGCATGATGAAGCGCAATAAGTTTTATCTTAGTGAGAGTCTCATTGATCGTACCACAGGGAATCAGTAAATCAACCCCCAAGCAAAACCTTATAGTAAACCAATATTACATATATTTTATAAATAAAACATCTTTGTACAGACCCTTTTTTTTCATGACCAAATGGCACAATGAAGAGGGCGAATGGGATGGGGGGTGCGAGCGGTCAGGCAAGGCAGGAGAGACAGGGGCAAGAAGGGAGCAGAAGATCCAGCGATGTAGAGTACAGGGGGCACAAGAGCTGATGAGGAGTAAGGGGAAAGATCAGTTGCTGTGAGAAGCAGGGAGCACATTGATGGATGTAACCTAACTCGGCACGGCGGAGGGCTGGGCAATGGAGGTCGGAGAGGGAGATAAAGACATACACATGAGCCATGTCAACGAGAAAGAAATGTCAGTATGTTTCCAAGTATAATGGAGCTACAGGAGACGAGGTATCCTAGAACGCAGAAGGCGTGCAAAATGTTTCAAGTCGCCATGCCAACAGAGGCTGGCTGGGTAGGGTCTGGAACGAGATTAACATAGATGAATGCGTGCAAGTCAGTTTTAGATCAGCCAAGAATTGTGTATCATGTATTCAAAACTGCGAAATTATGTAAAGAAATGGTGACTACTTTTGATTGAAGGATGATCGGAATCAAGTTTTCATGGTGGTTCTGATTTCAAACTTCGCAGAAATCCAAACAAGGAGTTTTCTTGCTAGGAGCATCAGCATGTCATAGTGTGGTGCGTTAAAGTTCAGCCAATTCTTGGCCTTTTTGAACATCGGGCTTCGGATAAGCTCGCTAAGCTATGAAAAAGTACTTGAACCGATTCTGGGGGTCTGCTGATGGATTTGATGGGAAGACAACCCTGAAACAAATCTCAAACTCAGAGAATTTATCAATTCAGAGGGTTAGCAAAGACAAGGGGGGAGTAGGCCTCAACGGAACGAGTAAACGGGATGAAGATGGTTTCGGCGATCAAGGTAAACTCTTCTTACAGGGTTACATCGAGCGAAAGTCGAACAAGAACGGATTCCAGAAGAAGTGGAAGGTCCAATACTTCGTGCTCAAAGACTCCAGGCTCCGTTACTACAAAGACCAAGTTAATTACTTGGATGGTGAGCAGGAAAAAGGAGAGATATACTTGAATGGCATAAGCATAAATTTCGGTGCAACCAAGGTCAACATGTCAGGAAATCCTAGATACGTCATGTTGTGTGAAGATAGATGGAAGAAAAAAGTCTTTGTTCTGGCATTCACCTCCGAACAAGAGAGAAATACTTGGTACGAAGCGCTCCAGATAGCTGTATCATCTGCCTCGGCTCCAGAAAAGAACGTGAAAGCATCGAAAAGCACTTCTCAGCGCAAGAGTTCATCCCCGTCAAACAATCGCCAGAATTCTCTTTCTTCTGTTATGGATTTCTTATCGGGTTCCACATTCCAATTGCCATTTGCTTCTAGGAAGCCGAAATGTAACTTTTCAGAATCGGATAGAAACACTCAGACCCATTCGAAGGTTGCGAATCTAATGCTCGAAATAGTCACGCAGAACCCTCGGAATGACAAGGATGTAAATGTTTATATCAAATCATCGAAGGGAGGTCGATATGGGGTTGAGTTGATTTGTGAAGGACATCATGACAACCTTTGGACATACACCTGGACGTACAACATCGACTACGTGCAGCTGAATTGTGAGTCAAGGGCTCGCCGTATTGTCGTTGATTGGAACAACAAGTGTGCCTGGATCAAGGGAGACATTGAGATAGACGAAGAGTACGATGAGGAGTTTGGAGACTTGATGCATATCTACAAGGAACACGACTGTCTGTTGATTCACTCAACGATTCCTTTCTCTCCTCGCTGGAATTGGATAGTCGGGAAAAGCGACCCCCAGAGGCCGTACAAGATTTCCCTCAAGGACAGTCTGTCGGGATCTGAAAAGCAAGTCACTCTTCCGTTGCAAATTTCCCATGGGGGCCACACTGTTGCTGCCTTCAGTGCAAGCAAGACTGAAGCATTGCTGTCTTTGATGGAGGTAAGTTGGCTGCCCTTGTGGTTTTGGCACAAGCATGAACCCTCCAAACAGATAGGCGAGGAAGATCAGTGGATACTGATCAGTATCACTTTTGTTTTGAGCATGTTTATTTCTATGGATGGAGGTGAAACATGTGACTGTTCTTTTCACTTTTTTTAATCCTAATTCGAATACCTCTAGATAACCTGAACTTACCTGCTCTTGATATCACATCATGCTCGTCAACCTCCAGAAGTCCAACTGGCACATGTAAGGAGCATGCTTTGAATTTGCTGAAGATGACTTTGAGTTCCAGCGACCTACGCACGAACTCCAATACGACAAGACAGCTTTGGCGAGTGGAGTCACTCAGTCCCAAAGACGACTCAAAGTTGCGTCGGTGAAGACCTAACAGGCGATGAGACCGGGAAGGGTATCCGTCAAAAAAGACTTGTCTTGGGCTGACTCAGACGCAGGGAGACCTTTAATCGGACTGCAAGCGCCGTTCCATCTTGACGAACCTTATCCTCATCCTGATTCTGTGTATTGTCCGCACGAGAACAAGGAAGGAAGTTAGAGTCTTATCAACTGCGAATTGTAGCTTAGGTATTCTTGCCGCTTTCTTTTAAAACTATTCACACAGTACAACGAACCAAAGAGATATGGACTTTTACAATCAGTTTATTAGCGAAAGAATAAGAGTGTAGTATGAATTGAGGGAAGAGTCCGGGTACCTTCCAGCCACCCCATCATCTGCATCGACTAACATGTCTTGACGCGCCTTCATCCCCACCTCGCAGCCGTAGAGGAAGCTTAGTTGTCTCTGCACATTCGAGGCTCATTTCCGAACTATCTGAGACCGAGGAAGCCATGACTTTGAGCGCCTTGGTGAGCTCGCCATTAGCCTCGTGGTGCTCGGCCAGCTGGCGAGAGAGCATCCTGTTCTCCATCTCCAGCCTGAGGATAGACTGCTGGACCTCTGCATACATGGCTGGGTAAGGGCAAACGTCGATCGTCATTCTTGACAGTTTCGAGGGGCGCGCTTCTCCTCCATGAGCCAAGAGAAGCATGGCAACCAGAACTGTTGATAGTGCTCGTCTAAGAATGGCGGTGAATTGTTGAGATAGAATCATTTTGTACAGGAGTGTAGAAGAGTAAGGAGGAGGAGGAGGAGGAGGAGGAGGAGGAGGAGGAGGAGGAGGAGGCTTCGTCAAGTGAACAACCGACGCTCCAGGCACAGTAGGATCGAGAAAGATATGGCGGAGTGAGAGAACCACCAGCTGTGTAAACTAAGGAGCAGAAGAAAGGTCCGACAGTTCACGCGAAGGAGCGAGAACGATCAATAATGCGTGGAATTCCCCGACCGGAACCCACTCGGTGTATCGAAAACGTATTCCTCGATCCTTTGCAGGTAGCCGCTGTTTGTTTCTGATTCTTGCTTCTCAGAGCCTGTCTTGCTGTCTTGAGTTGCCTTGACCTGCCTTGTCTTGATCTGTCTTGACTTGTCTGGTCTTGTCTGCGTGTATCTACTCTCCTTGCACGTTCTTGCCAAATGACATGGAGCCTCTAATAAAAGAGCTTCGGGTGAAGTTTCCCACTTGAGGGGTATAGCCAGTCAGGGGGTCCCCTTTAACCTCCTGACAGTTAAACTCTGTAAACCAGTGGGTACTTACAGGACAATTAGCTGGTAGGGGTGATCGAAGTACCGGTGTCGTTTAACGACAAGGGCTACGTTACAAGGGAACAAGGGGGTGGTGGGGTAGGGGTACGTATTCAAAGTGAGTTAAGACTACCTGCGAAGGGGTAGGGGTTACCACCCCACCGTGGAATGAGAGTGCAAGACATAGAGCTATGCTGGGTACTATTCGAACAAGATACCCTACCAGTTCGGTACGATGTTCTAAAGGATCAGGTGTTTGACCAATGTTGACGAGGGTGGGTACATGACTACCCGTTCTGTGTAGGCGCTCAAGAAGAGAAAAAGGGGGTAAATTGGATAAACTACGGGTACTCAACGAAACGTTGTTTATTCTTGAGGCCGAAAGGGGAGGCGGCCGCAAAGCGGTAGCAAATCAATATACATGTGCATATTATATATATATATAACACTGTAAAGTATCTTTTACGAGTTGAATATAATATTTTATATACAGTAAAAAAACTAATTGAAGTTTTAATAACATATATAATCATTCGTCATTTTAAATGCGAAGCGTTGGTATTTGAAGAGTTTTCAGGAATTAAGTCTTCTTTACATGATCCAGAATCCTACTTTTCGATAGTTTGACTGGTGTACCCCTCCATTTTCCAGGAATTTGGAAAGAAATATGTAGGTGGGGGTGCGTATGCTAATTTAACAGCTCACCCGTAGTAAAGAAGGGGTTCTGTACTCACCACCCTTCTATTGATAAGGAACAAGAAGTATTTTCATGGGTGGGGTCATCTCAGTGAAAGAAGTCAGAGATGCATTTTTTTACGTACAGGGAAGTTAAGTTAAAAATCAGGCAGTTGCCGTGACTCGGCGATCAGGGCATGTGGAACTTCGGGCCAGCCCGCCGGGCCACGGCGGCCCGGCCCGGCCGGCGGCGGCGCAGGAACTCGCCACACTGTCAGGTCAACTTTGAGTAAAGGTCAGGGAACTTCCGAGTTCGGAACGGCGGCAAACTGCCCCCTCAGGCTGCCCCCCCCGGGGGCCCCCGAAGATGCCAGCTTCCGAGCCTGCAGTGGCACGGCCACCGTCCCGGTCTTGACAGTGATCGCCGGACTGCCAGCCTGAGGGACCCCGGGCCCCGGGCCGGGCGGCGGCAAACGGTTCAACGATGTAGCCTGATCGTTGGCATACTCCGAGGCTCGTCCGATGATGCATCAATTCTCAGTCCTAGTAGTTTATTTACACAGTCCTGCATTCATAGCCGCCGTGCCACGGTGACTGTTGACTCGGCGTTCACAGGCTGAGACTCTGTGCAGCCAGAACACGTTCACGGTCACGGCGTGTGCGGCGAACGGCGAGAGACGGCCGAGTTTGGATCAGCTTCGCAATCAGAGGAGGAGAAACCAGCTTCGCGCGAAGGAGGAACAGCTTCGCGAGGAGGAGAAGCTTCGCAATGAAGAGGAAGAGCAGCTTCGCGAAGCAAGGCTCTTGGCGTTGAGGCAGAACCCTCAATCTGTGGAGCGAGGGATAGCGTGGGAGGAGTCGGAGGTGGGGCAGACCGTCCTCCAGGGCAACGTGGGAGTGCTTTCGACGCAGGCCATCAATCGGTTGATGGCACACGTCGAGTTTGGAAGTGAGAGAAGCTGGATGCCGGTGAACAAGTATGTTTCAAGTACGCTTACGGGGTGCACAGTATAATCGACTTTGAGGCAGTTGGCTCTCAGCTTTGGCTTTGAAAATCCGGGCGTAAAGGGAAGTCTTTTCGAGATGTACTTCTTGAAGAAGTTGGAACAAACAGGCTTGAGTGTGAGTTCGTGGCCCGAGACAGACCGAGATCTGGGATCAATGTCTGGTGGTGAATTTTTCATTATTGCAAGGCATCAAGCTTCCTGTTCAAAATACGTACTTGAGGCCTTCAAGGAGGCTATGAAGCAGTGATGGTCGACCAAGAGAAGCGGAAGGTGATGTTTGTACAAGCAACGATCGAACAGCAACATGCTTTCAAACTCTGTTTCTTCTTGAAGGCTCTGAAATTGCTTAACATCCCGAAAGGTGGGGGATGGAAGATGGAGGTTGTTTTTCTGATTCCAGTTGAGGAGCTTGCAAGGTTTGGGATCAAACCCACCGAAGACAGAAGCGCGCTAGAGGATTAAGGGTGGAAGAGAGGAGAGGAGGAAATGCAGGCAGAAGTAGCAGGAAATTCTATCATGTAGTCAGGGGGATCCGAAGCAACGAGAGGTCACATGCCGAAGAACATCGTCTCTTGAGGTACGCATCGAGGTAGCCAACTCCATTCACAGCCACGTGGCTGATGTTTGTGAAGAGTGAAGTCTCGGACATGTGAATATCTAGGCGTCCACTGGTCATCTTTCTCGAATCGAGACGCAGTAGCTCTTCATCTTTTTCCTTCCATGAGAGCCAAGTTCTTTTTCCTTCCATGAGAGCCAAGTGTATACTTGTTGTCGTTCATGACCATGCCTGCTCGAGCTTCCGTCATGGTACTGCCGTCATGGTACTCTATGGCAGGCAGCTTCAGCAGTATTCGATTGCAACTTCAACAAGTCTAGCAGCTCTACTCCTCTGCGACAGCTTCGCCTCTGAGAGCAAGAGTCAGTTGGATGGTTCTTACTCCCGCAACATCATGATAGCAATTGGAACATCTTGATCCGAGACGGATTGTTTTATGGGGTGGGTGGTTCTGCATCATAGGGGAGTCACCCGTTCTTTCACTATGAATAGGACGGGTATGGTTCAATTATCGAGGGAGAAGGGGTAGGGGTCATGGATGTTGCAGTATTGTTGTCGGTTCCTATGAGGGGTAGGTACCACGAGGAATCATGAGGGGTAGGGGTGAAGTACCTCAATTCATTTTCCTTTCCTTACCCCTACTTTTACACTAAATGGGACCGGTTTCCAAGAAGCTCAATTTACACTGGTTTGTAAAATTGGGGGTGGGTGGTTGAATGATCTCAGGGTGGGTAGTGGATCCGGCGCTGTGGAATGCTGCGGGGGCGAGGAGCATTCCGAACGAGAGCATTTTTTGTGAAGGGGGGGGGAGAGGTATGGAGCCTGACGCTGGAACAAAGGGAGAGAACGTACGAACAACACAGATCAGAGGGTTGCCGAACAATGCAGAGGGTGAGAATTAATTATTTCAAGGGGAGATGTCCATTTTGATGGACGTAAGGTGGTGGAAACAGCCAGAGAAAGCAAAGTAGATTGATTTTCGACCAAGTGAGTGGAGGGTAAAAAGTTACATGACTTCTTTTTTATTTTCATGAGTTCTTTCATGATGTGAAGAGGAACGCTTGGCAAGCAAAAGAGAGAAGGGGATTGAAAGGATTCCTTTCCTAAGGGTGAAATCCTGTATCCCATATTTCCATATTATCAGGAAGGAGAATTTTGTTATCTGTTAGACCAAATACCCCACCTTATTCTGTGTCGACGATCCGTTGATGTCAGTCTAACAGGGAAAGATGAAACTCTTGAAGCAACTTTTGGCTACAACCCTAGTTTTCCACTTGAGCACTTCATCCGCCTTCACCCCTTCCTGCCTAAAGCCTCCTGGCAAGCATTTGGTGCAAAATGGTGAGGGAAAATTTCTTGCAACCTGCTGTTTTCCTGAATTTTTGTTGGGACCAGCGCTGCCTCGTGGGCAGAGGGGAGTTTCGGTGCAGGTACGTCCGTTGGTTTGCTTCCTTGAGTGGATGATTGATTCTGTAGAAGTCTTCTCGTCCAAACATCCACACCCTCCGTGGAAACCTTGAAAGCTCAGTCGGATGGATTGGTCGTCCGGGCTCCTCCATGCAGGTGGTTCTCGCAGCTGAGCAGGTGTGAGTCTGACGTGAGTTTAGGTCCCGGAGCCGAGAATGGCTGAAATGCGAATGAGTCAATTGGGAAAAATTGACATTGATGGGGCTCAAATCCAGTAACTGAGATTCTTCTCTGAACTTTATGCGCTCATGTCGTGTGTAGATATGACTACTTGCCCGGAGATGGGCCTGTTATCTTCTACCTTCCAGCGCTCAACCAAACCAGGCACGGCGCCAAGGCTAACGCTGTAAAGACTTGGTGCCGCCGCAATGGCCGAAGCTTCTTGGTGGCAGATTACTACGGTGCAGATCATTGTTTCCCTGCGTGTTTGGGATCTAAATCTCTTGTGCAGGCACTGGCAAGAGTGACGGTGAGTACAGTGATGCCACTATCACCCGCTGGGCCAAGGATGCGGCAGCTTTGATCGATTGGTTGAAGAAGGAGCATGACCATGACGGAGTCATCATGGTGGGAGCCGGTGTTGGTGGATGGGTTATGCTGCACACAGCTCAGTGGCGCAAGGACTCGATTGTCGGTCTTGTTGGAGTCGCCGCTGACCCTGATTTCACTGAAACTTTGGTTTGGCCTGCGCTTGAAGACTCGGTGAAGCAAGAGATCGAAAACAAGGGGCTGGCGGTGATCACATGGGCTGGTAAGCCGTATACGGTGACAAAGGCTCTCTTCGATGATGGCCGCAAGATGCAAGTGTTGAACAAAGGGCCCAACTCCATCCCCATCACATGCCCCGTCAGGCTCATCCAGGGCCTTGGGGATGAGGAGATCCCTCCTGAGCGAGCGCTGGAGCTCAGCGACTGCTTGCTCAGCCGCGACGTGGTCATCACCTACGTCAAATACGGGAAGCACGCGCTGGAGGACTACGAGGACGACTTCAGAAGAATTTATTTCGCAGTGGAAGATATCGAAAGGCAGGTTGTCCGCCAGAACTGGTTGAGGAACATGAACCGCCCGGTCTGATTTTGAGGGGCTTTAAAAAGCAACTTCACATTGCAGCCATTCTTGCGCGGGTCTCTTCCAAGGCTTCAATCTTGTTCGCATCCACCATTACCTGAAATGGAATGAATTCGTGCTGAAACTCAAAAACCTTCGCACCATTATCGTTTCATCCAGGCGTAAGATCGCTGTGTTCACTCTTTCCATCTGTTGTACAAGGGCCTGTCGAATTTCCAATGAGCGAGCTGCGTCATTTGAAATCAGGCCAAACCTGATACTTCTTCATTTGCTTGTCTGTCAGGTCGGAGACCTCCCCTCCAACTCCAATGAAGTTCTCGCACTCGCGCCTGAGTTGTCTCGTCAACTTCCTGCACGTTAGCAGAGGTCCGCTTACTTCTTCTCTTCTCTCTTCAGCAGCAGGAAGTTGATCGTTCTGTACATCTCATCCTCAACAATGCTGCAACCGTACGTCACTCGTCCGCAAGTGCAGGGGAATCCAGTCAAGCTCACCTGCATACTTTCGGGAGGTCCACGTACCAAAGGAAAAAAGTCCGCTGTGTGTTGTGATCGATTGTCCGTGGAACCTGAAGGAGTAGATGACGATCGGGCAGAGAACTTCAAGAGCTCACCTCTTGCAGCCGGACGAACTGCGCTTTCAGCATCTTGCACAGGATCTGCAGCATGAGTTACGAGGGAGCATCCTTTCAACGAGGAGGGGACGAGGTACAGAGAATATGAGGAGCCTGGGCCAGGACAATCCTCTGACTGCTGTAGAAGGGTTGAACTTACGTCATTCGCATCTTTCTTCGGAACCATGCTCAGGTCCCACACCGTCTTCGACTCAAGGTACTTCCTCTCCAGGAGCAGGCGGAATATCCTCCTCCCCCTTGCCGTAAACTTCTTCTCAACGATGCTCTCGAGGATCTGTTGTCGCAGCTCCATCATCAACAAGGAGATGTCGGGCTTGAACGTGGAGCCCTCCGATCCTCCTCCCATCAGCTTCGTGACACTCTTGAACGCAGGATCTTGGCAGAGAGCAGAGAGCTGCTCGCTCAGCACCTCCCAAGTGCGGACTACATTCAGATCCTCATTCCTCCCCTCAGACGCATCCAGCATAGCATCCACAGAAGCTGAGGGGATGAAACCGTTGGCCAGGTTAGCCGGCTGCAGGGCACGGTTTCGGATAGTGCGGAGGAGGAGCCTCATGAGCGAGGCAGTCTGAGGACCGAAACGATCTTCCATCAGCTGCGCTATTGCCGCAGTCCTGAAGTCCCAGAGGAAGGCTGGGGTGTTGACCCTCCACGTCGACCCTTCGTTGTCGATCGACTCCTTCAGAGCTCCATCTTCCTTCAGCGGGATCCCTGCGGCTCCGTTGTCTAGTTTCACCAGCTTGCTTTCCCGCTCCTCGCCTGCCGAGCCTGCTTTCCTCTTGCCCGTCTTCTTCTGCGTGGGCGAGAACAGTACGGCCGGAGTGTCGGCCCTCTCCATGTTCGATTGCGCGCGGACGATGTACTTCTCTTGGATCAACAGGTTCCCAGCTTTCACCAGCTTGTCCTCACTGATCTCCTCGTCTCCATACTTGCAGTGTTCGATGATCTGAGCCATGCTAGCTCGGCCATGCTCCAGGATGGCCTCCATCACTTGGGACGCCACCCGTGCGTGTTCCATGCTTGCCTGCGACTTGATGTGCGTGCAAAACTTGGGGTATCGGAGCCGCAGGCTGGCCTCCTCGACCTCGAAGTGGTAACGGCACTCTCTCGCCGCCGACGTGCTGTCAACAGTGACCGAGACCTGCCATCCTCTTCAGCTTCCAGCAGGGTAGGGGGCCAAAATGCACACCAGGTTGTGTTGAATTAGGACAAGCAGGTTGTTCCTGAGGGCAGCGCTCCCCAGCTCTGTGTCAGCTTGCAGCTCCTTGAGCGTCCGTTGCGATCTGCGTATGAGGGCTGCGCAGACGCTCTCGCTCGCTGCTCCGAAGTGATCCTTTACAACCTGACCGACATGTTCACATCTCGCGCGTAGGGAGGGGATCAGAGGTTACCTGCAGTGCAGCTCCCTGCAAGCCGTTCAGGATCGCTGGTCGTGCAGGAGGCATGTCCAGGTTGTGTATCGATGACTTACAGTTCCATAAGATACCTGCACAACCTCCTTCAGCCTCCACAATCAAGAAGGCAGAGACTATCTCATAGCCTATAATGACACGGTTCCAAACAATCTCACAACTCTCCGGTCCCCTCACAATTGCTCTCTTCTCTCTTGTCTCTTTCCAGCAGCAATCCCTTCTCCATCCTTTCATCTTGCAGCCCAAACTCAAAGACACCTCCCTCCCCCCCTTCCCGCTCGCTCTCTCCCTCCTCTTCACTTGTCCCCTTGCCGCCTTTGTACCTCCTTGCCTCCCTCCCTCCCTCCGTTCTCACTTCTCCCTTCCCCTCCCGCCTCTCAACTCCTCCTCCTTGCTTCTTCTTTCTCCTCTCTTCTTCTCCCCCTCTCCTTGCGCATTTCATGTCGCTCCCTCTACCTCGACCCCGGTAGCGTTCCCTACACATGCATTGATCAATTCTCGTTCCTGCTGATTTTCGCAGGATACAGTCCGGCGAAACTGGTCGGATCATGGCCCGGCAAGCGGAGGCCGCTGAGCGGCGGCTGCGGGCCCGGCGGCGCCGCTGGTCACTCAGTCACGGCGAGCCTTATCGATCAATCGGGCCCGGTCTTTCTGAGGCTATGGGCTAAAGATGCTCATTTTGCCAGTACCGTACGGTCGCCCGGGAGTCGGGTCACGGGTGGGTAACTTGGCACGCCGGGCCCTAGTACGGCTAGCGCCCACAGTGACTCGGAGACCCGGCCCGGGCCCGAGCCCGGCAAAGTGGCACGTTAATTTTTGTGAAGAGGCTCTCCAGCCAAATAACGAGGCGGGCCTCTTCATGTCAATGGCCTCAGTGGGGTGTAGTAAGGCCTATAGTCAAGGCAGCAGCAGACCCCAGCCTCGTGGTTCCTTGGCGACCCGACGCAAGACTTGACTATAGATCGACATGACACTTTGTAGTCAAGATCAGGGGCCTGAGGGTGAGAGGCCGAGATGGCCGGGGAGTGGTGGGCGTGCGAGGACGACGATGATCTTCAGAAGGCGCTGCGCGCCAGCATGGCAGACCTCGAGTCCCAGGGAGGGCGGGGAAGGCCCCCAGAGGAGGAGTGGGAGGGAGAGGGCCTACCTGATGAGGCACGTCAGGCCCTCCGAAAGGTCACTTCGTCATGGGAGAAGCAGAAGCGGATCCTATGGACGAACACGGACGAGGCGCTGGAGTACGCGCTTAAGTATGCAGGGAACACGACGGTGGTTATCTTTGTCAACCAGATGATACCTGAGATTGTGAATACCTGCGTTCAAGACTGCACCTGGGCTGACATCGTAGAGGACGCTACCACGAAGGCGGATTACTCGGATGTTTTTTGCCGCATCCTGAAGCAGTGCATGTCGATCATGATCGAGTCTCTTAGCTCGGGGTTCATGGATCTTCTGCCGTCCCTCAATGTGCTTCTAGATCGAGAGTCGGAGCTTTACTCCAAGTCCTCCCGAACGCTCTCCGGGGCAGAACAGCCGCCTCCTCAATTCCTCTGGAAGACCCTCTCGGACAGCTTCACGCAAGCCAAGGGACACGAGACCATCCTCGAAGGCATCCGGCATTGGCGATGGTCTGCTGTGCTGCACTGCCTGCGACTCCTCGCCAAGTGCGGCGACCAAGCAACCTTCATGACCGCCTTCGAGATAATGCGGGAGAGAATAAGAAGCAAAGGGTTGGAAGCTTGGAGAGAGGAGGGGAAGGACCTGAGCTTGGTGGTGAAAGAGTTTGCAACGGCAAGATTCAGGACGCTCCTGGGAGGAGGAGGAGAGCACCTCTTGTACTCGCTGGGGAAGGACATCATCGAACCCGCAGTGGAGGGTTCCAAGTCAGAGAAGTTCATGGACAGGATAGGCGCGCTGTCGGCGATGGCTTCAGTGATCGAGAGCAGAGCGCTGGAGACGAAGAACCAGTCACGTTGCCAGTTCCTGGATGAGGAAGGAGTGATCGAGGATCTCTTTGGGGAACGAGCCCACGAGCGCATTATCCAGGAAGCAATGAAGCTGTTTCAGGTGATGGAGATGAACGTGGCAAGGCTGGATCATGTGCTGTCTGCATCCTTCAATACGTTCGACGACTTGATACGCTCCTCTGTGAACAACATCATGGTCTGCCTGTGCGAGACCATGAAGGAAGAGGCGATCATGTACGTGCTATATCGCTGCGAGAAAGCCCTTGAGGATGAAAACATCTCCGACGCGTCCACCGAGCTCATTCTGGCCCTTGCTAACGCCAAGGAGGGAAGAAACGACGTCAGCCGGCAGAGCACAGGGTCGGGGAGCTTGAGGGAGAAGCCGCTGCTGATGAGCAAGGGGAGCAATGTGTCACAGGGGATCCTCAAGCTGTGCTGTAGAGCTGCTTGCATCTTGCACTTCGACACGACTCGAGATCTCTCGAGGAGGACGAGGGTGGCGCTCCAAGACCTGCTCAACGACAGCGCCCAGGTCGCGTCCGGAGACGTCGGGCAGCAGCTGCGCGACTTCGTGCTCTCGTACTGCATCGAACTGCTCCGGGAGCTGCAGGCGGACGGGGAGGAGGAGAGGATGCAGGAGATGATGTACGCGAGCCAGAGCTCTGCCCAGACCGCCTCTCGGGTGCGGGCAAGATCCCTGCATGCGATCCTGAGGAGGGTTATAGAGATGCACCCTACCTCGCAAGGATCCTTCCAGAGCCGGTCGAGGAGCGCGTGCGTGCTGAGCCTGCAGGAGCAACACAAGCTGGTGGACCACGTGATCGACGACATCATCATCAGCTGCAGGTCCACCCTCAGCCCCCTCGCAATGACCCGCTCTATCAGCTGGGGATCGCTCCAGCTGGCGGAGATGCAAAGCAACGGGGTGGCGGTCGAAGGAAACGGGGGTGGCGCCTCCCTTCCTCGTCCGTCCGCCTCCATCTTCAGCTCGGAGAGGTGGGAGAGACTTGAGTTCCTCCGCTTCCTCCTCGAGCAGTCCGATGGCAAAATCGTGTTGACGAAAGAACAGGTAGGAACTTCCGCCCCTTTCCTTCCCTTCGTCCCCACGCGCTCCGCGACTCGGCCTTCTCCTCTCCCCCCGCCTCCTGCCCTCCTCTCCTTCCTTTCACCTCGCCCTCGCCCTAAACTGTCCCATCATCTCATGGTGATCGCAGGCGAAGAGCTTGTGGGTCTGCATGGACAGTCACAGGGAGGTCAGGATGTGCTGGTTCCGTCTGATGCAGGACTCTGGGGGGCTCATGGAGGAGGGAGCAGAGGAGATGCTCTTCGAGAAGATGATGACTGGTCCCCCCGACTCGCTCCACAGCATGTGTGCCTTTGACTTCTTCCTCGCGCTCTTTGTGGACCTCAACGGCCCCCTGAGGGCCCGGGCAGGACGGGACCTTGCTCCTCACTACCTCGAGACGGTCGGGAGGAACGGGGTGAAGCCCGGGCACAAGCTGTCGGGGACGTCGCTGGTTGGGAGGAGAATCGCACTGAGAGCAGCGGAGGACAACCAGCTGCAAGTGGGAACGGTGACGTCGCACGAGCGGACCCAGTGGCAGAGCATGTACGTGCTAGTGCTGGACCAGGACGGGACGGAGCAGAGGAGGCAGCTGGAGTCGGGGAGCGTGGAGTGGAGCCTGGTGGAGGATGACGTCGGAGTAGACATCCCTGTGTTCGAGTTTGAAAGATGCAGGAGGTGGAGGAGGCTGCGAGGCTTTCACAGCCTGTGGGAAGTAGCGCTCTCGGCAGCTGACAACCTTGTGGCAAGCAAGGCGGCAACGGTGGTGATCCGAATATTCCTGTGCTTGGAGGAGGAGGAGGAGGAAGAGAAGGTGGGCAGGAGGGGCGGGAAAGAGGAGAAGGAGATGGACGCAGAACCTGCACACGAGCTTGAGGATCCAGGGAAGGAGCTCATCGTGAGCTTGTTCGAGGAGCTAGAGCGAACGGCGCGCGAGCTCTTCAACTGGGAGGACAACATGATGTGGGAGCTGCGGAAACGAGCGAGGAGCCTCTCGCTGGAGATGGACGGGCAGGACCGCGCGGAGGGGGAGGGAGGAGGAGGAGGGGGAGGAGGAGGAGGAGGGGGAGGGATGCAGTTCTCGAAGGAGATGACGACTCAGATGAATCTGGCAGCGGACGTCCGGGGAGCGATAGAGGCCGTTGACCCGGCACTCGCTCCTCTCGCTCCCGTGAGCATTGCGAGCTCGATGGCGATCGACAAGGCGCCGCTGAGCCCCGAGGACGAGGCCAAGAGCACGAGGATGCTCCGTTGCATCGAGCTGCTGCATGCGCTGGTGCAGCAGCAGCAGGGAGCGCCGCGACACGACTCCCTCGGTCGATGCAAGCCTTCCTCTCCAGCCAAGCCCACGGAGGTGACGAACTACATCGACATGTCTGAAGGACAAGCAGGGGGGGAGCGAGAATGTGTGAGGAGGAACAGGAAGGGCCTCGGGAAGGCCCTCGCCTCCTGCTCCAACATCGAGCACCACTACAACCTCCTCCTCGCCATCATGGAGATGCCGCAGACAAGCTCCAAGATGCAGAGCTCCATCTGGTCCCTGCTCATGGCCCTGCCTACCCTCAGCATGCGACTGCAGAGCATCGAGGAGCAGAATTTCGCGGACTGGAGTACAATCTTCGGTCCTGAGATCGGGATATGGAAATCTCTCTACTTCCTCCAGATCATCGACTCCTCCCTGTATGTTTCCCTCCATCCATCCATCCCTCCATCTATCTTCGTCTCCTCTCCTTCTTCCCTTTCCTCTCTGCGTCTCCTCTCCTTCCTTCCGTTCTTCCCTGACCTTGTCCTACAGCTTGCCAGCGGAGGATCACAAGCTCCGCCGGGCGGTAGAGTGGAGGAGGAAGTTTCTGGCGACCGGCGGCTTCGAGCAGCTCTGCCTCTTTGCCATGACGGTGGACAAGACCACGTGCTGGCATCAGCCGCACGCCATGGCGCGGTCCCTGTGCCTCCCCCTCCTCTGCCGCATCCTCAAGTCGTGTGTGGCTGGGGCCCTCTCGGACAACACCCGTGGGGCGGAGGACGAGAGGATGGAGGACGAGAGCAGGAAGGGATCACAGGGAGAGCATGGGGGAGGAGGGGGGCAGCGGGAGAATGGGATCGACATGCTGGCGTTGATCAACCAGCTCCTTTCCTTCCTCCTGGCACCTGCTGGGAAAGGAGAGAAGCTTGAGTTCCTGAGCAACGCTCTCCTCGACGGCCTCGCCGTCATCCGTATGCTCCTTTGCTCGCACGCCTCTCCAGCCTCCTTCTTCCTCAGGTCGCCTCCTCCCAGCGGCCAGACGGCCGTGAGCAGCTCGCTGGTGGAGAGCTTCCTGAGCAAGGGGTCAGCTGAGGAGCTGGTGGACGGGATCCTGCTCAAGAACGAGGAGGCGAACGTGCGCTCGAGCGCGAAGCAGCTGCTGCACGAGATGATCCTGTCGACGCAGAGGGCGAGGGGAGGGGCGAGCGAGGAGATCAGCTCCGTGCTGCTGCTGCGGACGATCACGATCCTCCAGAGAAGGATGGGGAGCTTCGATCGCTTCAGCGACACGTGTGGGCAGTACTTTGAGATCCTCGGTGATCTGCTGGCCCTCACCAGCAAGCTCCTCCCTCTCAAGGCCCCTGAGGTCACCGTGCTGGAGCAGGTGGAGGACAGCGCCGTCTCGCTCTTCGACCGGCTCGGGCGCGAGGCCGGAGACGTCTTTCTTGCTCACTTCCTCTCCTTCCTCGATCGGCACGCGAGGCTCAGCGCAGCCTTCAGGAGAAAGCTGGTGGACAAGGAGGCGGTAGGCCGCCTCCTTCACGACTTCCTTATGAAGCCCTCGGAAGGTGCCCTGCAGCCTCTGTGCAACCTCCCCGAGTCAAGAGGAGGAGCATGGCGGCTGCTGACGACTATCGCGGAGGGAGGAGAGCGAGTGGGCGAAGTCACTTCGTCCGTGAACCTGTTCCTCCGCTCCGTGAAGCCGCCGCTCCTCCCCGACGGCTCGGAGGACTGGCAGCCGCGGGTCGCGGTCTCGAGGAGGAAGGGGATGCCCTTCCTCGGGCTCCGCAACCCTGGCGCGCGCTGCTACATCAATGCGATGATGCAGCAGCTGTTCTGTGTGGACGCCTTCCGGGAGCTGCACGCGACAGTGAGGCTGCCGGAGGAGGAAGGCGCAGAAAGGAAGGGAGTGGCAATGGTGATGTCAACCACCTGGACCTGCGACGTGTGCACGCTGGAGAACGAGGAGGAGACGGAGACCTGCACCATGTGCGCGACGGGGAAGCGGCCGAAGAAGGAGAAGAAGCGAGTGGCGAAGGGGGAGGTGCTGCGGCAGGTGCAGAGGACAATGAACTTCATGATGTACAGCGAGCTGAGCAGTTTCGACACGGTGGAGCTGATGGAGTCGTGCAGAGACATCGGCATGCACAAGCCGATCGAGCTGCAGAACGACTCCTCGGAGTTCTTCCAGCGCCTGCTAGAAAAGCTGGAGACCGAGCTGGGGGGAGGGAGCAGCCTGCGGAAGCTGCAGCGCTGCTTCCGTGTGCGCATGATGACTCAGAGGGTGTCGGCAGAGTGCGAGCACGCGAAGCCTGTCAACTGCGGGCCCTTTGACAAGGCGATCAACCTCTCCATCGCGGGGATGGGGAGCCTGGAGAAGGCGCTGGACGCTCTTAGGAGAAACACGCTCATCACCGGCAGCAACCGGGTGGTGTGCGAGGAGTGCTCGAGCATGGCGGGGAAGGTGGTGAAGCGAGCCTTCTGGGAGAACAGCTTCCTGGACCGCAGCTCGCTCTCCGATACGCTCGTGCTCAACCTCAAGAGGTTCACCGTCCAGTCGCAGGGAGGAGGGAACGTGAAGATTAACGACTTCCTGTCCTTCCCGCAGGTGATCGACCTTGCCCCCATCACACGGCCGGTCTCGGAGACCAGGTCGCTGGACGCTCCTGCTCCCTCCAGCACCTCCGACGACCCTCTCCTCTACGGCCTCGTGGGCATCATCGTGCACAAGGGAGAGGCGACGCACGGGCACTACTACAGCCTGGTGAAGCATGCGACAGGGGTGTGGTACAAGGTAGACGATGAGAAGGTGGGGATTTTCGAGGAGAGCCAGATAGCGGAGGAGTGCTTCGGGGGGGTCAACATCAAGACCAAGTCGTACAGGGTGGAAAAGAAGCCCAAGAACTACAACGCCTTCGTCCTCTTCTACCGGAGGATGCAAGGGGAGGACGAGGCGATGTCCAACTCCTCCGACGACGTTTCCAGCTCCAACAGTGGCAGCGTATCCCACGGCGACTCGGACCCCTCCGTGCAGGGGCTCGAGAACGCCCTCCGCTTCCTCAACGACGTTAGGAGCAGGGACTCATCGCACCCTGCCCTGGAGGACGTGCTCACAACCAACGAGCAGGTGCTGTGCCAGGAGATCCTGTTCGACCCGACGTTCTCTCACCAAGTCCTCGACTTCCTCGCCCACAACCTCAAGGAGCAGGAGCGGAGCTCGGCCGGCAACGAGCTGCTGTGCATGGGTATGACCGTGCTGGTTCGTGTGGTCCTCAAGTCCTTCGATCAGTCCAGGCTGGACGAGTGGCTGGACTTTTTCTCCCTCCTCCTCCCCAAGTTTCCTGCAGCCTGCGAGTGGTTCCTTGCCCGCGCCCTCGAGCCTGACACCATCGCGTCCTCAGCCACAGGGGGGCCAGCATGCAACACTAAGAGGTCCTGGTTCTGCGGCTTCCTCCTCGACTGCCCGCATGCCGAGTCCCGCATCGCCTTCTGCAAGCTCATCCTCTGTGCCTCCCATAGCCTCGTCTCCTCCTCCTCCTCCTCCTCCTCCTCCTCCTCCTCCCTAGCGCACGAGGGAGTGGTGAAGCTGGTCAACGTCATGGTCGAGATGCTCTCAGCGCAGGCGAGCGACCCCAAGTACATTTCTCAGTTCTTCATGCTATGGAAAGGCCTCGCCAAGGACCCCAACGCCCCCACGGGCTACGTCAGACCCTCGGCCTGTGCCGGCATCCTCCACCAGGCGGACGTTCCCTACCTTCTCTCCCACCTCTTCCTCGGAGAGGCTTCACCCAACAAGAGCCTTCCCCGCATCTCCCCGCACTACGGCGAGACGGACATGAAGGAGCTCGTGCAGACTATCACCATCCTCTTCCGCTTCGCCGGCCCCTCCTCCTCCTGGCTGGAGAGCATGGCAGAGCCGCTCATCTCCAAGCTCGCACTCGAGGGGCCGTCGGAGGGGGACCCGGGCGACGGTGTTGGGCTGCTGATCCAGCTATGCAACGACGAGAAGGTTCTGAAGCTGACGGTCAAGAGTCTCATAGTGAACGGGATGAAACTTGACGCCTCCTCCTACGACAAGTCGCAGCAGTCCCTCCTCGCCCAGCGTGCTGAGGCCCTGAACGCTCTCATCCTCATCGGTAAGGACAGCCCCAGCCGCGTCGACGCCATCCTCTCCACCCTCACCGACCAGGAGATCGTGCACGCGGCCGTCCACCCCAACGCCGTGCTGGAGCATCTCAAGTGGATTTCGCGCATTGTGGTGAAGGCGAGCAGGGTCAGGGCGGCGCTGGCATGGCTGAAGGAGCACCGGGCGCGCTGGCACTGGATGCAGAGAAGAATCGAGGAGTTCCAGATCATGGACGAGGACAGACGGTCTGCCTCCACCGTCGGGCTGGTGATGGACCTGTCGGAGATAGCGAGCGGGTGGGAGGAGGCGGCAGTGCGGGTGATGGGGGGAGGAGACTTCCTGGTCAACGGAGTCTACAGGCTGACAAGGAGCGCGACGAGCGGGCAGAAGCAGTACGGGAGGCTGGTGGGGGACCAGGAGTACGCGATCAGCTGGAACCCCAGCAGGATGGAGTGGCAGATGATGCGAGCGAACATCCTCTTCTACTTCAACCGAGGAGGGAAGATGGCGGAGGGCGAGCGAGGAGACTCGATGCTGGACAGGTAGAGGAGGAGGAGGAGGAGGAGGCAAAGGGGAGGAGCGGAGGGAGCGGAGAAGTGGCGGGGGGGGAGGGGCGGGAAGAGGAGGAAGAGGAGGACAGGAGGTCATTGGTCTGCAGGCAAGCCCCAGCGTATCCCCCTGAGGATGGATGGATCGTAGCGGATGGCAAGCATGTAAGCGATGCCTCTCTTCTCCTGCCCTTCCTCCTGCACCTGCGCCTCCTCCTCCTCCTCCTCCTCCTCGTCTTGTCGCTCACTTGTGCCTCCTTACACACCACCTGCTCCTGCGTTTAATATTGTTGTTGTTGTTGTGGTGGTGGTGGTGGTTGTGATGATGATGATGATGGAGGGGAGGAGGAGGAGGAGGGTTGTGATGGTGACTGTCATAATTTACAGCCGCCTCCACGTGTAGTCAGAATCGCACCGAGCGATCAACCTCCGAGCTCTCCCATGCACAGGATCTCCAAGTTGAGGATCAACAAGGTGAAAGAATCATCCAAGTTCACCTCCTGCTCCACCCTGATCTTCTTCCTCTCTCCTTCATCGTTGCACGCCTGCTCTCTTCCCCTCGCTCCCCTCTGCCTCCCCCCCCCCCCCCCCCCCCTTCCCCCACCCCCACTCACTCCCTCTCCCCCCTTCTTCCTCCCTCTTCCCCTGCTGCTCCCTCTGCACGCTATTTCCAACCTCCGTCCCCCTCTCCCTCCTCCTCCTCCGTCCTCGTTGACTGACCATCCCCTCAGCTCCCTGACGAAAACTTCACCATCGAGATCGGGGAGCGGCCGCTGGTCTGCTGCTGTGCGAGGAGGACAGTGAGCTTCGGTCCTCCCAGCTCCTCGGGCACGCCCCTGCGAGTAGTGGCAGGTGGGATGAAGAAAGGAGAAGAGGGAGAGGGAGCGAGTGGGGGAAACGACAGGAGAGAGGGGGGTTGAGAGGGACTAGAGACAAGGGAAGGAGGAAGCAGAGAGGAGGAGGAGGAGGAGGAGGAGGAGGAGACGTGGGAAAGAAAAGCAAGAAGGGGGAGTAAACAAGAGGATCAGGAGGAGTGGGGAAGGAAGAGGGAGGCAGGTGGTTTGTGACATTTCAGCAGGAGGAAGTCCGGGCATTCAAGCCAACACAAGTTTAGTGATGGCTGTGGCCTCGTCTGTGTGCTCAGGTCCACTCCTCCTCCTCATCTTCCTCCTCCTTTTCTTCCTTTCCCCTGTCTCTCCCCCCCCCCCCCCTCCTCCTCCTCCATGCTCCAGTCTTCTTCCTTGCTCTCCTGCCCCTGCCCCCTCCCCCTTCTGCCGCAACTCTTCCCCCACTGTCTCCTCCCGTCCTCCTCTTCTCCCTCATCCTCCTCCTTTCCTCCACGTTCTCCTCCGCCTCCGCTGACGCTCGTCAGCAGAGCCTGTCCTCGTGCTCTCCAAGGGGCGGGAAGGAGAGAGTCCCCGTCACTCCCTCACCCTCACTGTCCTCACGGACAGGCCAGTAGCTGCCCAGCAGATCTTTCTCAACGACCGCGGACTCTTCGTGCTCGAGAAGGTTCCTTCCCCTTCTTTCCTGCCTGCCTGCCTGCCTGCCTGCCTGCCTGCCTGTGTATTTCTTTCCTCTCATCTGCTCCTATCATCACACTTGGTTTCCTCCCATCTCCTTCGTCTCCTTTCTCCCTCCTCCTGACCAAACTGAGCAGGACGGCTGGTACATTCTGCAGCTCGACGGAACGTTCTATCCGTCGGCCTCGCTCACTATCCCACCCTTCTCTCTCGGAGCAACCTGATCATCAACAGCGAGATTCTCCTTCTCAACCAGCTCGCCCCAACCCTCCTCTCTCTCTCACTCACTCACACACACTCTCTCTCTCCTTATCTATCTCTCTCTCTCCTTCTCTCCTACTCTGCCTCCTTCCCTCCTCTCTCCACTCTCCCACTCGGTCTTATTCTTTCACTCACGTTAATTTTACATCTCCTTAACTTCACAAATATTCACATTCACGTCTCCCCCGCCACTCTGTTCTTTGTCATCCGCAGGATCTCCCGCATTGTCAGTTGCTTCCCGTCCCCGAACTCCTTCAGCTGCATCGGCCGGTTGTCGATCGCGTTCACCCTGTCGATCTCCTCCTCCCTCCTCCCCCCGCGAGGGAACAAGAACCCGCCCATCGCCATGGCCAGAGCCGAGATGAAGTTCCTCCCTCCCGCCTCCCGCGGAGCAGCAGCAGATACGCTGCTTGCGCTCGCAGGCTCGCTCCGATCTTTTACCACCTCCTCCTTCCTGCTCTCCTTCGGCTCCTCCTTCGCCTCCTTGACCCCGTTCACCGCAGCTTTCTCTTCCCCCTGCGCTGCCGACTGCACTGCCGGAGACGGCGTCGCCCCGTTACTTCCTCGCATAGCAGACGCCGCCTTCAAGACGCCGTTCTTTCCTTGGTGAGCAGCAGGAGCGGCACGTGCAGGAGCAGAAGCGGGAGGCTGGAGAAGCTTGTTCTCCGTCACCAGGGTTCCTCCCAGCCTGTATGCTCCCCCAAGGAAGGGAATGAGCGAAAGCTCAAGGAGGAGGATGCCAGCGTTCTTGGCGTACTCGTTCCTCCCCATCTTGCCCACTGCCTTCTGCTGCTGCTTCTCCCCTCCCTCCTTCCTGCCGAAGATGCTGGACCCGATGGCACTGAAGAGGTTCTGCAGCCCGTTCCGGCGATCCTTTCCTCCCATCATCTTGGAGAACACCTGCCTGCTCTGCTTGTCCGCAAGCTGCTGCTGCGCTCGCAGCTTCACCTGCAGCTTCTTGGCTGCCGTGTTGTTGGGCTCGAGCTCGAGACACTTCTTCACGTCGTGGTTCGCCTCCACCAGGTTCCCCAGCTTCAAGTTCGCCTGCCAACCGCTTGTCACGTGGCACGAAGGAAGTGAAGTGAAGGCGAGAAGTTCGAGGATAAAATGAAAGGACGGGCCGGGGCTGAGGGGGATGGGGAGAGGAGGGAGAGGAGGAGGTGGTAGGCAGGAAGAGCACTACCTGGCCGCGTCGGAAGAGAGCCTTAACACATGAAGCTTTGATATTCAGCGCAGCGTCGCACTCGGCGATCACGTTCCTGTAGTCGAAGTCTCCTCTAGCGAGCTGCCTCTGCAGGACAAGCAGTAAGTACAAGTCCTGGCCTCAACTCCTCCTCCCCATCCCTTCCCCTGTTTCCCGACCCGCCTTCTTTCTCCTCTTCTCTCCGCCGAAGTCTGCCCCTCTTCACTTACGTAGCAAGCTGCTCGGTTGAGATGTACTATTACAAGCATGTCGGATGCATCCTGGTGATCCTTGACGGTCTTAAGAGCCTGATCCAACAAGGTGAGAATCATGAATCTCCTCTTCCCCCTCCTCTCCTTATACTCACATCGAAGGAAAGGTCATACTTGATGAGCGCCTCCTGCGTCCTGTTGTTCTTGATGAGCTCATTTCCCCACTGCTTGCGGATCCTCGCAGCCTGCCGACATCGTCATCATCCCTTCAGCTCTTCGAGGGGGAGACGCCGGACCTGGAGCCTCTCCTGCAGAGTGAGCTTGTAGGAGCGCGCGACCGAGTGGACGACGACTTCCCAGGTAACGTCCTGCTGGAGGTACTGGCCGAAGGGGAACCGCATCATGTCATCTACTGAGTGCTCCCTTCCAACAAAGATCCTCGCTCGCTGCCCCTCTTTCACAAAGGAGAGAGCGTTCTGCAAGCAAACGTGTCAGAACCCTCACCTTCCACGATCCCATCCCATCCCATCCCATCAAAGTTACTGATCCTCGCTCCCCTCCCACCACTCTTCCCCCCCGTCTCTCTTCGTCCCACCTCAATCGTCTCCGGCAGGTCTCGGTTCCCGATCACGACGTCCGTCAGGTTGGTGAGCGGGTAGAAGACATAACCAGAAGAGTCGATGCCCTCCAACGAGATGTTCACCTGCTCTGACATCAGCTCGGGAAATCTTCACCATCCTCCTCGTCACCTTGCAGCAATCCTTGCAGGACGGACAGTAGGGCTGTCTCGGCTGACCGAGGCAGGTCACCACCAGACTCCCGTCTCCGAACATGTCGTGCACAGAGTTCCAATTCTTCCGCTCAAGTCAGCAAGGGACCGAGTCGCCAGCGAGCAAGCAAGACCTTCAAGATGATCTCGAACTGCACAGTAGCGTTGGGAGGGACAAGAGGATGGTAGCCCATGGAGCCGTAGGCATACTCAGGCGCTAGCTTCACAAGGTACCTGCCCCCTTGCACCTGGCGTTCCCACACTGTCAGGACGTCCCATCCTCCCATCCCCGCCAGCTCGTCTCACCGCTTCCCTCGTCAGCACCTCCTCGAGTCCTTCCACGAGGTTCTGCTCGCCAAGTCGGACCCACTGAAACCCGTCACTCGCTGCAAACACGATCCCATTGTACATGCCACGGTACATGATGAGAACCTGGGACGACAGGGTTACTTTGACTTCCCCTCGCTCCCGTAGCCACTAACATCATCGTTGATGTCTGGATGCCTCCAGCCCATGGCAGCATCCACGTGATCCTTCTGATTGTAGGAGATGAGGATCCCACCGTCGTTGTTCAGGTCCTTCTCCTGCCATGGCGTTAGGAAGCGCCGCAGGAGGAATCGGGCGCCTCACATTCCACCGCAGCAGCTCAAGCTCGAACATCAAGGTGGAGTTGGGAGGGATCTCGTTCCCATTGTACAGCTTCCGTCCCTTTGCTCCATAGCTGCGACAGGATCAGCATCTCCACTGGGACAGCACTATCGCCACTCACGCGTAGTCGCTCCTCACAAGCACTCTTGCCCTCTCCTTCCTCTTCATTGTGCGGGCTGCGATGTCCCAGCCCTGCATCCTCCGTCAGCCTCTCTCAAGGAGCCGGGGAGGAAACTCTGTCAACCTTGATGGTGTTTCCGGACCCCAGCACAAACGAGCGAGGGTACTGCAAGGATTCTCCAGCCATGCTCGTATCGAACTGGAATCCTAAGCATGCAGGTGAGCTGGTGCACTCACAGGACACGATCGAACAAGCAAGGTAGCAACAAACAACCACAGCCTCACTCCACAGCTTCATCATATCAAGATCTAGCTCAGTACCGCTGATGTTCTTCCCCTGCACGATGGTCGTCCCGTTGTCGAAGCAGGCAAGGGAGCCGTTGAAGTACACGAACAGCTCGTCCCCGTTCACCGGCATCTCGTTGTGCACACCCTGCCATCCACCAGGTGAGGAAGGCGCAACGTGAGCAGCAGCAACCCTCACCTCACTGACGATCAACTTTCGCACTCCACCGTCCCCAGTGATGTCCCGCGCTCCCTTCATGACCTCCAGGTCATACACGCTCCCTCCCCTCATGACTGACAACGCCTTGGGCACATCGTGCACCGCAAGCTTGTAGTTGAGAAATCTATTCCGATTCCCGATGAGCCGATTGGCATTGTACCGGGGTTGACTCTGCTCCATCGCAATTGCATTACAACAGAGAACGGCGAGAACGTAAGCAACAGCCAGGTCTCGCGTCTTCATCCTTCAGGAGGCTCGGCTCCCACTGGTGTTGAGGGACAGGGACGATGTCGACAGGGATTGCGCTGCCTCTTTGTTACTTCAGATCTGCACAAGAAGTGTAAAGAATGGTTCGCTGATCACATAGAGAGGAAAGAATGACAAAGATAAACGTAGGTATATTTCATTCCTTGTCAGATTCATGCAGCGTTTGCATAGCATGGCACTTTCCAACGACATTTTCTCATTTATCAAGCATGTATCTCCTATTCTTAGAAAACACAATGTATCATGTCTGTACATTGCTGTACAGACCTATTTTCGACCCGTCGTCTGCTTTTGAACCTCAGAAAGTGACATCTCAGCTTATCAAATCAGCCCACTCTAACCTTACTATATCGAAGAGTATACATGTCAGTTGTCACCATCTTCTGCGTCTTGCGCTCCCTCCTTCTCGTCATTCTTGCACTTCTACATTCCCGACTACAGTAGGACTCCTTGTTACGATCCTGCTTCAGACCTATCGACGTCCTACTGCAGTACTCCTGTGACCTGCCTCTGGTCCTCGAGGCAGCTCTCTACGTTGTCAAGATCCTCTACCTCCTCCTGAGCCCTGTGCCACCTCCTCCTTCCAGCCATACTGCATCTGCAGATCACTGCGCCATAAGCTTCCATCGGGGGCTGAAGGAGGGGGTCGATTTCCGATAAGGAGTCCCTCATCAGGGGTAGGGTGGGGTCCAACATCCATACACATAGGGGTACTGTTGGGGGGAAATGGGGGTACGGGTTCAAATCTAATAAAAGAGAAAAGGGATTGGTGAAGCAGGGGGTCATTGCTCCTCGGATTTGACTTAAATATGGGTGGGGTGGTTGAGCTCAACTAGGATACCTCAACCGGTTTAGTTAGAAAGAAGTACCCCCTACCCTGATTTTGAATACTTGACCACCCACCTATTCGAGAGCTTCATTCACCCCACCCCCCGTGCTTCATCACCCACTCGATACCCAGACTCCCAGATGGATTATGGAGTCAGGTGGATGAAGGGGGTGGTATTGCGTGAATCATGTGGGTAGTAAGGGGATAAACTGGGGGTAGGGGTATAGAAATCAGGGGTAGTATGGACCCCATCCAACTTCGGCTGTAAAACAACGATCGAGGGTTTGTTTTACAGGAAGCGACGTGAATGAGGGCGATGATGCTCAAAATTTGTGACCGACCGCCGCTGAGCGTCTGATCGGGGGCCTCTGGCAAGGACTGACAAGCCTTGAAGGCCACTCATTTTAAAGGCCCTATTATTTAGCGGCCCTGAGATTTCAGGCCGCGTGGCCAGGCACGGCGGCGACCGGCCTCGGGGCGGCCTCGGATGACCGAGTCCGATCCGCACCGTCCGCCGGAATGATTCGAGTCCCGGTCCCGGCCCGGACGCGCAGTGCGCAGGCGCAGTGGCGGACTCACGCGGCGTCACCCCGTGACCGTGCGTGATTGTTAGTGGTGAACATCGGATCTTGTGCCCGGGTTTGCCTTGGGGGGCCTCACTCTCTGGGACCCGGTGACCATAACCGGGCCATCATCCATGGCACAGCGGCCGGGTGCGGGGGCGCCCGCGGCCTGCTGAGGCCAGTGTGGCGGAGTGACTGATCCGATTCTCAGGCACTTCCGAGTTCCGAACCTCTGAGTCTATTACGAGAACCGTAAACACAAACCTCAACTGACTTCAGTAGCCAACGGCGCCGACTAGGAATCTTCAGCCTTCTGGAAGTCAATTCCATTGTGCATGTCCCAGCCCTGCATCATGAACAGTCCGTCACAGCCTGCTCCCACTGCATCTTTGTCGCATTGTACTGACCCGAACAATGGCGTCAGTGATGGGCTCGCCGTAGCGACTGAAGGGGTCCAATGGGTTACGATGCATAGCCACCAACTGCCATCCAAGTGTCACGCTGCAGGAGCCTACTATAAGCTATAGATCGGACCTGCTCAGGCAACTCTTCGTCTTCAAGCTCGCTTTGGAAGCCGAACGGGTCAGCCTTGCCGTTGAGAGACCCCTTGGCAATCTGAGCCTCCATGTCAGTTCTACTCCCATCCCCTTCCTCCCAGCTCGGCCCACCTGCTTCGTCAGAGGGTCGTCGTTCTTCGAGCATTTGCCTGGCGTGCAGTCTGGCTCCTTGCACGATGTTTCCCTGTGCTCGAGGACCTGCCATGTCCACGTCTCAGCCCTCCGACGCTCATGCCCTCGCCCTCTACCTCCTTGAACGGACATCGGCTGCACGTCCGCTTGCATCGCTCGACAAGTGGCGTTACCCTGGGGAACCCTTTCTTCCGGTCGTAGCGAGCTTCCAGTACTTCTTTCGTCGCCGTGTTCATGAGCTGTTTCTTCATCTGCCTGGTAGACGGGAAGGTATCCGAGGGGTACCCGAACGAGTCCTGCATGAAATCCGCTGCGTCTCCCCACACCATCTTGCGCAGCTCAGGATCTAGTGGAGACTTGACATCGGAGCCGTACTCCGAGTGAGCAAACTGAAGCATCCGCTGGTCCTGCAGCCTGAAGAGCAGCGAAAAGTCGTCAGTTCGACACGAAACCGTCCTGTCTCTTAGCCTCTAGTACCTCCTCTTATCCGCCGCAGACAGTCGGGCGTCCCTGCTGTAGAGCGGGCTGGTTCTATCTCGGTCAACGTGTCCAAAGAACGCTCCTGCCTCCGACAACGGAGACCCGTGCCTCGAATTCCTATGCCCATGTCTCAGTCTCGACCGGCTGGTAACAAGGCAACGCACCGGGACCGGGGAGATCTGTATCTGTCACCAGTGCCGTCTCTGTACTGCGGATCGAAGCCTGAGATCCAGTTGTCTCCAAGGTCAGCTCCATCCTTATGAGGATAACGCTGCGGGACAGTGTTGTAAATGTTGGGCTCGTATCCATATCTCCTGTCACGAGCTTCTCGCTCATAGCTGTAGTCGCTTGACTTGCGAAGGTCTCTCTCGTAGTCGGCTATTTCCCTTTGCTTTTGTTTCTTCCAGCGGTCACACTCGTCTGGATCAGGCTTGGTGGTACAAGATGGGGGAGGATTGTCGAAGTTGGGTCGTCGCCTCGCTATATCATTCGGATCGTTCCTACCTGATTTGTCACCATCATAGTCGTAACTCCCATATTTTCTCCTTCTGTATCGTTGCGATTGGTAGTCATCATCGTCATAATACCCACCCCATAACGTGCTCCTGTGACTCTACCATGTAGTTCAAATCAGCCTGATTCTTCCGCCAACTTCCTTCTTACCTTCTTCGTCGATTTCACTGGTAACTTCATGTGCTTTGAATCCATCTTTTCCTTGAAAGATACCTTTTCCATCTCTCGATCTACGCGACTCGCGCCAGCCTTGCTTTTCACGCCAGTCCCCTGCTCCCCTTAGCCAGTCAGCTCCCATGATTTGTTGCATGTACTGTATGACGTCGATCCACACCTCTTACCTCATGGGTCTGCTTAACGAGCATCTGCGCTCTGCGAATCTCTGCTCTCAGCTCTGCAAGTCCCCCGTAAGGCTCTCGCCCCTCTCATTTCCTCCCTTCCCGCCTCTACCGTCCATATCGGCCTGCCGCTGGGATCGCTCGTCCTCGACCTTGGCCTTGAGAGTCTGCGCCTCCCATCCGCTTACGAACGACTACACTCCCTCCTGCTCTTCTTCTTACCGACACAACGAGCTCTGCCTTCTTCATCTTCCCGACATCCGACTCCTCCTGAGATTTTTCGCTGTTGATCCTTCCTTGGATCACTCTCAGCGTGTGGTCCTCGCTCCGAAGCCTGCTGCTCGCTCCACTCTTGGGAGGAGCAGCGCTCAGGTGTGGAGGAGCAGCGCTCTGCATGCACAGCATCATCCCCCCCCCAAATTGCTATGCACGGTCTTACCCTTTGCCTCGACGGCTTAGGAGCAATCTCCGTGAGAAGCTTGTTTGCATATGCAACGTCCGCCTCAAGCCCCGCTATATCCGACTGTTCACCAACCATCGCACGTCAGCTCTCCCGCGTGCTCTACTATGGTTGTTACCGGTGCATTGAGACGTAAGAGCGATACTCGCCCGCTCACATGCTGTGTGAGATGTCAGCACGCACATCCGAGGCGAGCGTGTCTCACCGTTTGTTGCCAGCCGAGGATGCAGAGCACCGCAAGAGAGCAGGCGAGCAAGCTCAGCACTAGGTGATGGCGGGAAGCTCGGAGCCTGCTGGGAGGGAAGCGGCCGGGCATGATCCTTGCAGGGGTCTCAAGAGCTTCTTCCCACGGGCGACCCCCCCCCTGCAATCATGTACTTACCAGTGAGACGTAATAAAGATTGGCTTTGCTGTGATGTCGATGGTTATCTCGACAGGTTTCTACCTTACAGAATGAGGGCCATTTGAAGCCTCGATCAACTCTTCCTCAGTCACAGTCATTACATCTGCCTGAATCAGTCTCTAAATCATGACAAATCATCGCAGAAGCCTTTCAATGTTGACTAGCATTGCCCAATCAACCATGGCTCCAAGTTTTTTATCTCAACAGCTCTTCCTACCACATCATGTGAAGCTCCTTCTTCTGACTGGAATGCTATCTCACTGCCAAGTCAATGCAGCCGCCGCTGCTTCCCCTAAGTTGCTCTGTTCCTTCGCCATGTTTGAAACCATTCGGACTTCCCGGCTCGATACCGAGGAGTCACTTTCCTATCACCCACCCCACCCCCTCCGAAAGTCACTTTCGGTACTCAAGACCGCCCCTCATCACGAAGTTACAGCCTTATATATATATAATTTCAGGTACTATATGCTTCTTTTTTTTACTATCAATACTACCACTAAAACCTGTGAAGTACTACCTCATCTGTACCGGATTGACTCATAATGGTAATAATTCATAGTTCAGTACACTTTCAAGTATGCGATGGGGGTCAGTCACCGAACGAATTTTCTTCAGTGGCCCGTGACAAGGGGAGGCCTAGTGACTTTGAGTAAAGAGGAGTGATGCACACAAGGCCCCGTCGCGGCTCCGGCGGAGGAGCCGCCCGGGGGGCTGCTCCGGGCCGCTAGGCTGGGCTCCGCCGGGCCCATACTACTTGAATTTTTAACTTAACTTTGAGTAAAGACTTGAATACTCGGTGACCGACGCATGTTTTGCAGGCTCGGAGCACTGGAAACTGCACTGAGCAGCACTGAGCACAAAGGAAGATCCGAGGGCATCGTGATCGGATGCCGAAAGGCAGTTTCGGCTTCCCCATGATCATCGCCACTGAGTGCACGGACGGCCGGGCGGGCGGTCCGATCGGGACGGTCGGATCCGGGGAGTCCGGCGGGCCCGGGGGTCGGACGTCGGAGTGCACCTGGGCCCGGCCAGCTATATCACTACTTCAGTCGGAGCGAAGACGGGAAAATGAAGGGACAAGAGGAGCAAGTGAAGCGAGGGAAGGAGGAGAGGGACAGTGAAGGGAACTAGAGACGAGAGGAGAGGCTCCCCGAGGCGAATGGCAGAGGGACCGCTGATCCGCTGGAGGGAGCAGCAGCTTCTCACGAGATGGAGAGGAGAAGGAGGGAATCCAGGACTGGGCGAGAGGAGCGATGGGGCCTCTACCAAGAATGACTTCGATGCCTTCATGATACTCCTGGAGATGATGATGCAGGAACGCGACCATGACAAGAGGCTCTCGTTGATTCAGCGATACCTCCTCGTTGCCTCTTCTTACCGCAAGTCCACGCCTCTCCGGTCTACGGAAGGCCTGGCAAAGATGTTTCATGACGTCCTGGTGAAAGCCGAGTCGGTCGTTCAAGACTTCATCCAGGCCGAAGAAGCTCGTGATGCTGATCGCGAGGCTGCCAGTCTTCAGAACACACCCAAGGACAGGTATGCGAGTTTGATGAGGAGAATCGCGGTGGCGAACGAAACGTCCAACGCATGCAACATGGCCTTGCACCAGTGCAGGCAGGAGCTGGACAGACTCGTTGAGAGGGAAAAGTATCTTGACGCGGCAAAGGACGATGGACGTCTGCCAGAGGCCTTGAGCGAGAGAGAGGCCGTCCTACTCCAACTCGAGTCGCGGCTGAAGGAGTATAAGAAATGTTTGTTGGAGGCAGGAGGGTTGGAGGACAAACGGGAGGTGTTGGAGTATCTTGCCCGATGTGATATCGAACACCTTCTGAGAGACTTCCTTACTTATTCCCCGAGTATGTCATGCAGAGGTGCGATAGTACCTTACGTGTCTTTCAGATCCGGGAGACGTGACGTCGACGGAGCTGCTTGGGGAGCTCCAGCAAGCGGGCGACAAGGGCGGTTCACGAGACCAAGGCGCAGACAACAGGAAGAGAGAGATGAAGGAGCTGTTGGAGGAGACAGAGCGACTTGAACGAGAGTACCTCCAACGCCATGCTGGAGAGAAGGATTGGAGGGAGTGCACTGTCCGATTGCAGATGCAAGATCAGGAGCACGTAGAGCAAGCTTCTGCCGAGCGAGTGATGCAGCAGGTAAGGAGAGATGTCTCGAAGGCGCTCAGGTGCCGCCAATCAAAGGTCTGCTGCCATCTCAATCATTTTTTCCATCGGGTTCATGTCCTTGTATCCAGGTCACGGTTGTGAGCTGCGACTTTGCTCCGTGCGTCGTGACCGTCCGGTTGGCTGAGGGGGTGTATGCGGACGTTCGCTCTCCTCTCGAAGCAGGGCGAGAACTTGCAAACCAGGTGCTAATTCATCTTATGCTGCTTCTTTCTGCCTGCCTTGTTGATCCTTGCGCGCTGTTCCTATTCAGCTTTCACTATTTCTTGACCCCGTAAAGCTCTCCCTCTCCCTTCGGTGGTTGTTTTCTTGTTCCTCATGTGCGTTGAAGGTACATGATGTCAACTCTCCCTTGCGACAGGGGAGATGCAGTAGCCTCTGCACATCAGTGACGGTCGTGGAGGACGACAGACCGCAGGACGTCCAACAGCCGGCAGCTGGTCAGATTCCAATCCAGTCTGCCATTGCGCTTGCGATGGAGAATGGCCTGAGTGAGAAGCTGGCAAGGAAAGTCTTGGAAGAGATCAACCCGAAAAAGGAGCCATACCTCGATGCCCAACTGGTTCAGCGAGTTATCAAGAAGAGCGGCACAGTGCCGGTCGCCTCCTTCCCCCCTTACCGCTCCTCCCAGGTCGACAGGAGCCGGTTAGGGAGGAGTGGGATCGGCCTCCTGCTCCGCAAGGACAAGGACAGTGGTGCTCTGTTCGTGAGGGAGGTTATGCCAGGATCCCCAGCTGATGGAGTGGTGAATGGGGAGAGGACGGGAGAGGGGCTGTTGCCTGGGCAGCGAGTCTGCTCGTTGGAGGACGTTCCCAGCGAGGAGCTGAGCGAGGAGAGAGCTCACCTTATCACCCTGGGCCATTCCGGGCAGGAGTGCAAGGTAGTCGTAATGGGAGAAGAGGGAGAGGAGGTAAGGTACTTCCCGAGGGCCATGGGGTATGACACGTTGGAGCTGTGGGGGAAATCCGACGACCTGCTCGTGAGCTCGACAAGAAGGAGCATGGGGATGTTGAGGGCTGGAGGGGAGGAGGGGGAGAAGGAGGACGTTGGGATCAGGGTGAGGCGGGAGGAGGAGGGATTCATCGTGACTGAGCTTCTAGCGGGCTCGCCCGCTGCTCTTTGCCAGCGCATTCAGGTCGGAGACCGTTTGCTCCTCATCGACGATGACGTCCTTGCCCTCTGCAATGTTGAGGAGGTCCAAGAGATGCTCCGAGGAGCGCGAGGGACCAGGGTCAGCGTGACCGTCTCCTCCAACGAGGAGGATGTCAGTCGTCAGACTGTCCGTGTGATCGAGCTGGAGCGGGGCCATGCCGCGGCGGCGGATGGTCATGCGGAGTCAGCGAGCATGCAAGAAGCTTCATCCCGTGATGGGGAGGGCAAGGAAGAAGAGGAGAAGGAGGCAGCGATCGATTCAAGAGTGCATGCTGGCCAGCCGCAAATGAGCTGGACGGCTGATGGGGAGAGGCAAGGGCAGGCTGGTCTACCTCAGACCCTCTCAGCGGCCCTAGGAGCAGGGCAAACTAATCACATGATGAGGAGGACCGAGGATGAAGATGAGGATGAGGATGAGGATGAGGTTTCTGACAGCGTCTTCAACAACAGGTTTCTATGCTCACACCTCTTCTTTGTTGGTTTCTGCTTTCTGTCCTCCTCTCTTTCTCCCTCTCCCTCCCTCTTGATTTGTCGCTCCCTCTCTCACCTCTATGCCCAGGGATGTCCCCCTGGAGGACGAAGAATGTACCACAGCCGAGGACCTGCGAAGATTGCTGCGCGCGATGCGATCAGGGGCGAAGAGGGAGGATGAGGTTGTCTGCTGCGCGATTTCACATGCAACCTTCACGCTCGACGACCTGCTTTCAAGCTTCTCAGTCAGGATGCGATCAACTCGGCGACTGGAAGAGGAGGGAGAGGATGAGAAGTACGTCCTTGCCCATATCCGCCTTGTGCGCAGCTGGAGGGTCGCCATTTCGCTTCAGGGGCAGAAGAGCATGAGCGACGTTCCCTTCCTTGGGGTCTATGCGGTGGACATTCGTGAAGGAGACCTCTCCGTTCGAATAGTCTCCCTGGAGGAAAAAACTCTCATCGAGCAGGTGGAAGAGGAGAGGGGCGATGAGGAGAATAGGAGAGAGGGTGGAGAGAGGAAGGAGAACAGAGAGAGGATGTGCGGCTGGTGGAGAAGGAGCGGGGGATTGAGTTGTGGAGGGAGATTGCTTGAATTTTCTGACATGGCTGCAAGGCGGTCGATGACCTGAAGGAACAACTGGAAGCGATGGACTTGAGATCGTCTGCCTCGCCGGAGGGGATGGAGAGAACCTGCGTCAAGATCGCGTCCTTCATCGTCCACGAGTCCTCCGCCATGTCCCGAGGGGAGACGAGCAGGCAAGACTTCCAGCACAAATGCCTGAGCTGGCTGAGGACGGACGAGGCCGTACAGCGGCTGAGGAGCTCGAGCAAGGACGGGTGGATTGTCGTCGGAGAGTTCAAGAAGATGCTCCTGCACTACGACAGGATGGCGCTCTGGAGCGAGCAGACGCTGCCTGCAGGTCTCAGCAAGAAGCTCCTGTACACGAGGAACAAGCTTGCGCTGTTGCGCTGGTTCGCGCATCCCCCGCAACCAGAGGAGCAGGTGTTGTTCCTGGATCCCGCGCAGGTGCGGGGCTTCCCTCCCCTCGACATGCCGACCAAGTTGGAGGAGGGAGAGTCCTCGTCGTCCTCCCCCTCCTCCATCGCACCCAAGTACTTCATCTTCCCGGTGTTAGTCTGTGTCAACTCGTGCGAGTTTGACAGGGAGGTGAGAAATTCTTGCAGCCCTCCCCAGCTGACTCCGAGCTGTCGCCTTGCAGCGGAAGGGCCCGAGGATCAGGGTCTCCAAGACAGGCTACAAGGCCATCTGCAACATCTCCCAGCAGCTGGGCGGGCAGAGCCTTCGGTCCTCCCTCCCCATGGCCATCGAGCTGAGCAGCGTTGGCCGCTCCTCCTCCTTCCTCCACTACATGGAGGTAACAGCCCCTTTCTCTTTCGCTCCTCTCTCCTGCGCCTTCAGTGCCATGATCGCTTCTCCAGGTCCTCGTCCTTGGGTCGGTTTATGGCATGTCGGTGGGGATCGTGTCGGGCGAGACTGAGGACCTCTCCACCTGGTTCCCAGCAAACTCCCTCCGGCTGGAGTACGACGGGGCTGTAAGGTGCTGGAGCCTGCAGTCGCGCTCGCCTCCTCCTCCTCCTCACTCCCCGCAGGGGCAACGGGATCTTCCTCAAGCACTCCACGGCACAGGGGAAAGAGGGGCTCAGCTTCGACGACGGCGACCGGGTGGGCGTCTTCCTTGATCTCCTGACGAACAAGATCGGGTGAGGGGAGGGAGGGAGAGGGAGAGGCGACGAGGGAGTTGGGCCTGAGCTGAAGGGGGCAGGTGGACAAAGAACGGCAAGCTGGTTATGACGAGAGAGCGGCTCCCGCTCCTCCATCCTCTAGCTGGGGACCTCAGGTTCATGGTCTCTTGCCGCACGGGAGGATTCGAGATGAGCCAACGGCAGTCAGCGTACGACAACTTGCTCAAGGTGAAGCCCCTCTTACTGCCGCTCTTAGCCTGACAGCCGGGCCTGTGCAGGCGGTTGACATGAGGGAGTGGGCGAGGAGGGGAGGGCGGCGATGCTGGTTGCCCATCACAGAAGGATGAGCAGCTCTGTTGAATTCTGGGTCACAACTCTGAGATTAACCCGTACCTGTAACTAGCTAGTAACAGTACTACACGGAGCCTCTAGCCTGACTCTTACTGATTGCTTGAACATCCTGACTGAGTTGGATCACCCAGTGAGACCGTCGCATACAGCGTCACAGGCTTGCAGGAGGCCTGGCAGCACCTAGCAGTGGCGGCGGGGCTGCTGCCGGGGCCGGCCCTGGCCCAGTGGGGCCGGCCCCGGCCAGAGTCCGAGGGCAGTCCGAGGGGCCTAGAGGGGATGAGGGGCCACTCGTTCGCTTCGCTCCTCCCCTCTTCCCCTAGTCCTGCAAGCGCCGCCATGTACTGGCGCGTCAGATGAGCGCGCTGCTGACCTCGCTCATCATCGCCACAACAGCAAGGTACTCTCACAGCGCGTTCGCTGTAGGCTGCAGCTCCTTCGAAGGTTTCAGGACAGAGTTGAGCAGGACAAGGCTGAACAGACCTCTGACGAGGCTAGCAATGAGTACCAGGAGCAGGAGGCAGGCCGAGGCTCCGAAAGAGCAGGAGGCTGTCCCGAAGAAGGAGCCTGTCTCGAAGAAGGAGCCTGTCTCGAAGAAGGAGCCTGTCTCGAAGAAGGAGCCTGTCCCGAAGAAGGAGCCTGTCTCGAAGAAGAGGGGAAAGGCAGTCAAGGAGGAGAAGGAAGACCATGAAACGACGACCAAAAGAAAAGTGGCGAAGACGGAAGCGAGCAAGGCAGAGGTGTGCGAGGCCAACACGACCTCGGGGTTCTGGCTGGTGAAGAGTGAGCCGGACGAATATTCCATCGAGGAGTTGAAGAGACAGCCTGACGGCATCGGCTTCTGGGATGTAAGGGCCATCAGATCGAGTCTTGGTACCTGACATGCTAGCAGGGAGTCAGGAACTACGTCGCCAGAAACAACATGCAGAAGATGAAGGTCGGGGACATGTGCTTCTACTACCACAGCAGCTGCAAGGTCCCCGGCATAGTCGGGCTGGCCAAGGTTGCCTCCACGGCTCGGGTTGACCCGACTGCGCTGGACCCGAAGCACAAGTACTACGATCCTAAGAGTGATCCTGCGAAGCCCAGGTGGTACGGGGTTGACCTGCAGTACGTGCGAGACTTCAAGAGGATGGTAACCCTGGCGGAGCTCAAGACTTACAGGTCAGGTGGAAGAGCAGCTGAGAACCTCGCTGACGTGGTTCCTACAGCAAGGGAGAGCTGGCCAGGATGGATCTGTTCAACAAGGCTCGGCTGAGCGTTCAGGCGGTCAGCAAGGATGAATGGGAGCACATCATGAGGTTGGAGGAGGAAGAGCCCGAGGATGATGCAGACGGTGCCAAGTGATAGGTGGGGAACGAACAGTCAGACTGCGCTGCGGGATGATCAGCAGTCACTAGTCTCTTTGCTGGTTGAGTTAGAAGTTAGTTGCTTCCAAGCCACTGCCAGTATATCCCGGTCAGTAGCGGTTTAGCGTCCCCAGTCCCTAGTAAACTGGCAACTCGGGCCTACTATGCTGATAAGACCGTGGCAGCGCGGCCGCGCGGCCGGGGCTCAGCCTTGAGCCCGATCGGACCGCCGGACTGGCTGGTGACGGCCCGTACGGTACTCGAGTGGGACTCCCGGCGAACTCAACCGTTAAACCGGGCCGGGCGCCGCCCGGCCCCCGGGCGGAAGTTTGCAACTTCACAGACGAAAGTTTCAATCAAGTTTGTATGGAAGTAGCCTTCAAAGTTTATAGTTGCCTCTTCGCCATTGGCAGGGCGATAAGGGATGGCGAATCAGCAGCTGCTCCCCTCGCGCCTCCTCCTCCTCTCCTGCATCGCTCTCGTCGCTCTCTTGTTCCTGGTACGACTCTCCAGTGTCAGTCGCCCCAGCTCGCTAGATGAGGTGTGGGTGCCAGTAGATCAAGTGCGCTCCTTCCGGCCGCTGCGAGGTATGCGAACACGTCTACTTGCGTATGGCTGATTGACCGTTGCAGGAGCTGAAGACTTCAACCTGATGACTTCTCACCTCAAGAGAGGCCTGCATGCTCTTCGATTTAACCCTCAACCCATGCTCAAGGCTCGAGTGGCCACCGCTCCATCCAACATAGATTATTTCTATGTCGATAGACCGCTGCAGCCCCCCAAGCAAGAAGCTCAGTACTTGGTGTGCCAGCAGAGCAAGGTAGACTACAACCGCCTTCTCCAAGCAGGTCAGATCAGCAAGGAAGAGCAGGAGCTCCATGAGATCTTCGACTACGTCGATTCAGACCACAGCGGGTGTGTCACTGGGTACGAACTCTACATGTTCAGCGTACAGCTCTCCAAGGTCTTGCCCCAGGACGAGTGCCTGTCCAACCCTGCATGCGGTCTCTCCTACTCCGATTGCGCTCAGATCATCCTGGCGGTACCATGAGAGCGATGCTGCCGTGGGCCGATGCTGACTTGCTTCTCACAGATGGACGCTGATGGAAACAACATGATCGACTTCTTTGAGCTGGAACAGTTCCTGATCTTGAAGACTGTGTTCGACTCTGTCGATCATGGTCACATCGGCACCATCAGCACAGGAGAGCTCTGTGAGGCCCTGATGAAGCTGGGAAGGCAGACCGCAGACTGCAGGGAGAGACTCATGTACAGTTGGGGAGGAGAGAAGAGATTTGATTTCATGGACTTCAAAAATTTCCTGGTGAATTCTGAGCCCGCCAAGAGCTCGATCGGGTTGTAGATGGAAGGGAGATGGAGGCGACAAGAGGTTTGCTCATTAGAATCTTATTTCAAACATGTTGGAGGCGATTTCAGAAGCGCGATATGTACAGTGATTGAAACATGTGACTTGCTAACATGGCTCGTCTAAGATGGCTGCTCGGGCGTACGATCGTTGGGTGTGGAGAGCGACGGGGACCAGGGAGGGAGGAAGATGCTGGGCGTGCGTCCTGAGGTCCTCCCTCAGCCTGTCCGCGTACGCCAAGAAAGGAGCAGAATCAGGGAAAGCCGCCTGCGGACTGGGAATCAGAGGAGGAGCTGAAGGGAGAATGAAGGAGAATGAGAAGGAACATTGGAGCAGGAGGAGCCAAAGGAAGGACAGAGGAGGGAAGAGGAGGGGAGGAGGAAAGGAGGAGGAGGAGAGAGAGAGAAGCCAGAAGGTAGAAGAAGAAGACAGTACCATCTTGACGCGCATGGATCCCTCCAGCGCCACCCGAGCTTGTGAGCCGTCAAGCTCTACGGATGCCTGAGAGAGAACGATCAGTGGGGAGAAACCGGAAGGAAGGAGGAGACAGGTAGGAGGGGAAGGAGGAGGAGTCAGGTAACAGGTCAAGGAGGAAGGGAACGCGACGAGGGCAAGAGCCATGGCGAGGAGGAGGGAAGAGCACCGTGACAGACAAGCTGAGTTCCTCATGCCGCAGCCTTCTCGTCCAAACCTCTTCCCTGATGTTGGAAGGAGAGTCTTGAGACTTGCTGCTTGCAGGCAGCTCGTGGCGGAACAGGACATAGGAGGCATCCTGTGCTGCAGTCAGCGACGCACCATCTCTGTCCTCCTCCCCTACTCACCTTCTCTTCGTCGTACTTCACTCCCCCCGCAGCAGGGATCGCACGTCCTGCGACGTTGACGCTGATGCGAGCGAACCGAAAGCCCCACACCGACAGCCGCACCCACACACTGCGCGAAGACTGAGGAGAGGGGAGAGCGGGGAGGGAGGAGGGAGGAGGGAGGAGGGAGGAGGGAGGAGGGAGGAGGGAGGAGGGAGGAGGGAGGAGGGAGGAGGGAGGGAAGTGGGAAGAGGAGGGTTTTCATAGATCGGGATCTATGGAGGTAGCACACACCATGATCCTTGCGGGGCGTAGAAAGTTCCTTTCTCATCCCTGAAAGTAGCAACCCCAAGAGCATCCGCTACCTGCCTCACCCTCACTCCTCGCCCATGTACTGCTCTCCCTCATTCTCCCTCCCCCTCCCCTCTCCCCTCGTTGTGCTCCATCACCAACACCATCATCACCACCTCCTCCTTCACCACCAGCTCCTTCTCTCACCTGCCATTCCACCAGGAGCGCTTCGGGTGCCAGCAGCTCGGCGAGGACGCGGTAGTAGTCTCGGGCGTTGCCAATGTGCCTGATGCTATCCCTTCTCATCTCCAAAAGCTCCTCGACCTTGAAGCACTCTCAGTTCCTTTGCTGGAGGAGGAAAAAGGAGATGGGAGAGGATTCGGTCAGAGAAGGAGGGGAAGGAGGAGCTGAGGTGTGTCGAGCATCGCTGTACCATCACGATCCTCTCTTCGAAACTCTTCGCTCCTCTCTCCACAGAGCTCCTGTACGACCCCTGCTGTGAAGGAGCCGGGCTCCGCCCTCCAACGCTCTTCGCCTCCCGCCTCCTGCTCGCTCCCTCAGCAGCGGCGACCCTCCCGCTCAGCTGAGAGAGGTTCTGATGCAGGACGTTCGAGAGCCTCGAGAGCCTCTTCCTCAGGTCTGCCTGCTGCTGCTCCCTCCTCCCATACCCTCTCGAGAAGAAGGAGTCCCGCAGCACACTCAGCCTCTGATCCTCCAGCAGATCGTGAGGCTTCGCCAGGGCCCGCACAGCGTTCCTCTTCCGTAGAAGGGCGTACTCCACCCCTCCTACCTCGATCACCAGCTCCATGTCAGCCTTCTTGCCCTCCTCCTCCTTCTCCTCTCCTCCTCCTCCTCCTCCTCCTGGGTTCTTCGAGCGAGTGAACTTGTCCACGGTGTCAAACACTGCCTGCTCGTAACGAGTCAGGACAAGGGTCTTCTTCCTCTCTCTCTCCATCGCTCGCAGGCCAGCAGTCAACCCACGCATGCACGCGTCGAGTTGTTGTCCAGAGAGAGAGAAGGAGTGTTGCTGCCCTGCCTTCCCCTCCAGCGTCTTGAGGAACTGCAGGCAAGCTTTGACCTCCTCTTCCTCGTCTCCTTGCGCCTCGCTCTGGGAGAGGAAAGAAGCTTCAATCCATCCGTCATCCCCCGTCCGCTCGTTCATCGTCTCCTCCTTGTCCTCCTCTCCGCTCGACTCGATCGTGCTCTCCAGCACTTGGTGCCCCCTCTCCCTGTCTTTCCCTGTCGTCTGCAGCTGAGCTGCGCGCGCAGCCTGAAAGGAGGAGGGGGAGGCGCGTGAGGAAGGGCTCGAGGTCGGAAACTCCTTGGGCAGGAAACGATCCGCCATGGCGAGCGGGTCGATCTCGGACCTCCTGCTCTTGGTCGGCGTCTGTGTTGGAGTCTTTCTTTCCAGAGAGGAGGATAGCAGCTTGCTGCCCGACAAGTCGGCGGCGGCGGCGGCGGCAGCAGCAGCGGAGGAGGAGGAGGAGGGAGGAGCTCTGCTGTCGACTGTTGACTCGTTGGACAAGCGAAGGCCGGCCAGGAAGTCACGGAAATCAAACTTACCGCTCTAGAGCAATGTCAGGATGGGAGACAATAAGGGAAGGAGAAAGGAGGAAGGAGGAGGGGAAAGAGCGGGAGACAGGACAATGAAAGGTAGGAATGAGGCAAACAGGGAGTTGTGGAGGAGGTTGGGGGGGGGGGGGGGGGGGGGGCGCTTGCTCTCTGTGAATTTGCGCAGAGCAAAGGTGTTCTTGTATTTGTTCGTATTTTTCCTGTCTTCTATCATGATCGTACATTTGGGGGGGGGGGGGGGGGAAA